GCCAAGGCTAAACAAGTCAGGAGTTCCTACACTTGGTGCCACAGGGGAGCCTAGACAGCACATAGTAGACATATCTAGGCTAGGCAACAAAGGGTAATAAGGTCCAGTAACGCTAGAGTCATCAGCAGACATGGCACACAAAGCAGAGCGGATCTGATCCACATCCATTTCAAAGACCGGCACATGGCGATGTACCAAGCTGTGCCAGTCCGCGACAGGCCCGAAGCGGAGACGGAAAAGGTCTTCGAGGCCGCGGTAGCAGCGGGCGGTGGTGTAACCAAGACGGTCACACATAGTGTTACGAAGGGGACCAGTCTGAAGCTAATACTCACAGCTCAACGAACTGGAGCCGCCACCTGACGTCGAGCTGCGAGGGCCGCCTCTGTTGCCACCACCACCAAAGCCGCCTGGCCAGCACGGCGGCGTGGACCCCACTGCTGTTTCTGCTGCTGCTGCTGTCTTGGCTACTGTTGCTGCTGCTGATGCTCCGATTGCTGCTCTGGGGTGTCAGCCCCCACCCCGTCGTCTGCACTCTTATTGCTCCCACCATCTTCACCTCCCCCGCCACCCCTGCAACCCCCAGCACCATTCCCTCCCTTATGCCCCCCTCTGGGGCGACAGGGGGCTCTACTCTGACGAGGCTGCGCTACAGCCGCCGCGATGGTCTCAGTGGCAGGGACTATCTCAGTGACAGCAGCGGAAACGTGAGAGTAAGTGCACTGGGAGGGAGTACAGCCCTAGAGGATAGGGACCGCCGCAGTACCGCTAGACTGAACGATAGTGCGCTGACGGATCTCTATCGTCGACAGAGTGGCGACGAAGTCGCTAAGGGTGAGGTCAGCGGGGTGGAGACTAATGAAGATGTCACGGGCAGTGGCTAAGTGATCGGGGAGGTGCGTGGCTAGGAAATAAAGGGTAGCGCCAAGGGGGGGAGGAAGTACAGTGAGCTGAGCTTCGGTGCTAAAAGTGCAGTAGCTAGTCTGCTCTAACGGGAGCTTTATGCGGAAGTGCCTGACGCAGATTGAGCTAATCCAGCTCTCTAGTTCTCTAAGGAGAGAGTTGTCTTCCGAATTGTGTGTCTCACAGAGTAGCTTGAACAGGATTGCATACACAAGTTCATTAGAATCAAGAATACATTATATGATCCACAAGGCAATCACTAATACTGCCTCATTGAACACAGCTAGAACGTTCCCACTAGAACGTTTACATAACTACTTTTAACTGCACTTAGCCAGTTAGCAATGGCCGATGAAAATTAAAGCACATGCTTAGTTGGTAAATTTCACCATCGTATAAGTAATAGTTTGACAGTTTCAGGTGATGAAACTGTCAGCTGTTACGTACATTCCTGCAGTTACGAAATGTTGTGCCACTTGTGTTCAGTTTCTCAATGTCTCAGGTAGTCGTGCGGTTTCGGTCCAAATCGGTTATGTAGGTAACTTACAAAGGGGCGGAAATTCGTGCACTATGGCCCCTTTGCCCCAGAAAGGCTTTTCTGCCGACAGGTTGTTCGTAGAAGAGAGTTTCACAAGCTCTTTCTGCAACGCTCCTACAGAAGTGAGCTTCGAGCTCCTTCTGCAGTCCTCGTACAAAAGAGGGCAGTTCTTCTACGAATGGGCCCTCGCGCCAGTTCGTCTGGGGCCCTTTCTACAGCACGTGCCGAATTTCAAATATGTCGTTGGGTCGCCTTCAGAAGCACATTCCGCACGCAATTCTACAGACGACAACCCATCTGTGAATGGCCCCTCTCCAAAAGGGTCTTCTACACTGAGATCTCCCACATATCTTTCTCACGTAAGACTGTTTTCGTTGTAGAAATTTGCCTTCTCGAAGGAGCTGCACCATCAACGACAAAGTCACTTCGACTAGACTCCTCGCTCTCGATAGGCATTCCCACAGAGCCTCACCTTGTCGACAAATCTGATCTTCATTGACAGGCCTTTCTGCGGGGCTTGCATTCACAGACCTCGTTGCTTTGCCACTTCTGCAGACTTCTGCAGCCTTCGGAGGATCAGGGCTATTGTCGACAGGAATAGTGAGCAATGAAAGTGTGTAGGTACTCATTGGCCATCTCTAGGGCCTGAAATCGGGGACTCTTGCACAGTGGAAGAGCGTGACTGATAGCTAGTTGCGCAGTGGCATCACGCGACTCCCAGACAGAGCGGGCGAGCTCAGCAGCTGTGAAAGCCTCACGCTCAGCAACCTTGGGGGCGTTAGTAAGGGCAGCAGGCACGGGGGGGTAGGGCAGCTTACCGTCGACATGGACGGCCGGAGACTGGCCATCCTAGCGCTGACCCTTCAGCTAGTGGCGCAGGTCGGAAAGCCACGCCTCGAAATTCACCGCATGACCCTCTGCGTCCAGACAGAGAATGGTGTCCGCCATCACGCACAGCTGCAGCAGTTATAGAACTCAGGAGGAGGAGCAGGGAGCAGGCGGGTGTGGTAGAGTGTGGTGGAGAGTGGTGGAGTGCGGTGGAGTGCGATGGAGAGCGGTGGAGTATAGCGGAGTGCGATGGAGTGTGGTGGGGGGCGGTGAAGATGCGGGAGAGCAGACGGCCGGCGAGGGCCCCGGCGTGAGGAGACACCAGGGCCGGCGGCGAGCTGAGGCCAGTAGCGAGCAGGGGGCCGGCGCGGTAAGAAGAGGCCGGCGCGGTGAGAAGAGGCCGGCGCGGCAAGCTGGGGCCGGCGCGGCGAGCCGGGACCGATGCAGCGAACTGGGGCGGCGCGGTAAAGTGGAGCCGACGCGGCAAGCTGGGGCGGCGCGGCGAGCTGGGGCCGACACGGCTAGCTGGGGCCGTCACGGCGAGCTGGGGCCGGCGCGGCTAGCTAGGGCGGCGCGACGAGCGGGGGCGGCGGGAAAAAATAGGGGCCAGCGCGGCGAGGAGGGGCCGACGGCGAGCTGGGGCCGACGGCGAACTAGGGCCGATGCGGCGAGTAGGGGCCTGCGCAGCGAGCTATTGTCAGTGTGGCATGCTAGGGCCAGCGCAGTGCGGCGGGCTAGGGGCCAGCGCGACGCGGCGAGCTAGGGGCCAGCGCAGCGCGACGAGCTGGGCCTGACGCGGCGAGCACAGGGCCATCGCGGCGAGGTAGGGCCAGCGCGGCGAGCTAGGGCAGGAGCGCGCTACGGGCGGGGCGCGAAGAGGCGGGGCGCTCTACGGTAGGCTAGGGCGGAAGCGCGGGTGTGTGGGACCTACCCACTGTAGCGTGCTACCATGTCAGAGTAACGAAGTGAGCTCCAGCAAGAGGATACAAGGTGGTGCAAGTATTTAATGTTGTTTTCTCTAAGAGCACGACCCCGTCTAGCCTATAACTATATATGCACAGCAAATGTATAAGTTGACACTCGGTCACTAACCACTAAGCTTTAAAATGGCTTGTTAAGTAGCGGGCATGTACGCCCATTGTTGGGAGACCCGCTGGGGTTGCCTTTGAGATCCTCGGGGAAGGGGTACAGGCCTCTATGCCTGGGGGGTTATGGGCGCACTTACCCGCTACTTAATAAGCCCTTTTAATTCAGTGGTTAGTGACTGAACTCTGACATGCTATTGGAGCCAGGAGACTCGGATTCAATTCCCATCGCCAGTGTTGCAGAGGCGCTTCTGTCTTCCGCCTATCCCAGCGGAGGGGGGTTGTCGAGAGACTCGCTGGGGTTGCTCTTGAGATTCTTGGGAAAAGGCCATAGGCCTCTATGCCTGGGGAGTTATGGACGCACTTACCCTCTACTTAACAAGCCCTTTTAACTTAGTGGTTAGTTATTGAGTTCTGACACCCATAAAACCCCAAGCAGAGAGATGGCCTGTAGACCTTCCCCGAGGATCAAGGGCAACCCCATCGTGTCCCTTGACACCCCTTCTCGCTGGGATAGGCGGAAGACACAAGCACATCTGCAGTGCTGGTACTGGGAATTGAACCTGAGTCACCGGATTGTGCTTTCATGTCAGAACTCAGTCACTAACCACTGAGCTAAAAGGGCTTTTTCAGTAGCGGGTATGTGCGCCCATGACCTCCCATGCAGAGAGATGATATGTAGCCCTTCCGCGAGAATCAAGGGCAACCCCAACATGTCTCTTCACATATTTCGTACAGGTCCTTTATCCCCTGTATATGTTTCGTTCGTCACCTGTGAGTTACGTCGTGTGATTGAAGCGCCCAAATATTTTTGCTACACATTTGTCTAAGCTTTTGTCTGTTTTCTCGCCATTTTGGTTGGACTCGGCTCGTTAGGGAGAGACACGCATGTGGCGCTTTCATAGTATTAAACTATTGTGTCTATTGTAATACGAAGGTATACGGAGTGAGTGATGTTTGCGAAAGGTGTACATTACAAATATTGCAATTTCGTCAAAACAGCCGGCCAATCGACACTCGAGCGCTGATCGGTGTGCTGGCAGTGCAATGCATTCTCATACGCTAATCTACCCCGTGAAATCTTTGAAGCACACAACTGCACTGGCTTGCGATGATCCGAACCAACGCCACTGGGCAGCTCGATTTTCCACGTCAGGGTGGAGGGCAACAGCCCACAATGTTGGGGATTGTCGGGAGTGTAGCCTTCGTATCAAAATATCATTTATCCATTGACATCTCGTGGTCCCTCCCTACGTGGAGTCTGCTGTTGTGATTTGGTGTGAGGCGAAAAGGAGAGATCCTTCACGTGTGACACCCGGTTCCAATTTGTTTGCCGCAGATCCTCGGGCACTCTATCAGGGCCCATCAAGTTGCCTCGATTGGCGAGGCGTCCCTCGCACTTGCGCGCTCCGCCTTGGGTCTCTTCCAATCTCGATTCTCGACCAACCTGTTGGCGCATATGCAGCTAGTGAATTCGAAGTTGCCAAATGCGGGTACAAAAGGCGGTAAAATACGGTTCTAGGTACTTTAGAACGATCGTGTGTGTTGCTGCGATGGGCTTTGGGTAGCCCACCGGAATTTCACCTTTCACCAGCTGCGTTCTGGAACCATTGTCTGAACACTGCACAGGGTCTCGAAGCCCCTTCAGATAAAAGCTATCAACAGCTAAATCAACGAATGTAGCAAGCACTGACCTGTCAAAGAGCCTAAGGAAATCACATTCCCTTGCTTGAGTAGGCTAGGCCACAGCTTAGAGAAAATGACACCAGTTTTGCAACAGAGTCTGTATTCCCAAGCGTCGTGCTTGGTCCAGCAGCCGAAAACCTCGCGGTCGGTCTCAGGAAGTCAGGTTTCTCTCGCAGCTTGTCATAAAAAGCTCACAGGCTCGTTTTCCATTTCTCCGGACCCCACCACGCACTTCCGGGCGTCCGCTACTGCCACTACAAATTCTGGCAACCATGTCAAGTCCCACTCCGTTGCCACATCAGCAGCTGCTGTGCCTTCCGGGAGCACCGGCGCATCGCCGTCCATGCTGTCGTCAGCGTCAGCAGTCTCGCCGGCAACAGTCGCTCGCTGCCCCTTCACCGGCCGATCAGCCGCCGTCGCAACCATGGTATTTTTGCATACGCTTGAGTTGAGAAGTTCTACATCTGCCTACAAATATATCAAGCCACCTTGTTGAGGAGTTTGCCGGCCGCAGTTCACTGCTTGCCTTTCTCTCACTCCGCTCACTCCCCCTACCTCACCATCCCCACGCGCCCTTCTATTCGGCTTTCCCACCTCCCTCCCTCTCCTGATCCAACCGAGCCCCCGTATCCTTCCCAGTCATCCACGGTGCGCCTTTCCCTGTCATCCAGGGTGCGCCTTTCCCCCGCGAGGACAGTTCAGCGGTTATCCCCGCAGTGACTATCCCGCACCCTCTCCCATGGGACACCGCGGGCAGCGGCCCTATACATTCCGGGCCCTTTATCACTCCGCGTCCTGTCCTTCCCTTTTCCCCTTGTCCCCCCCCTTTCCCCCTCACCCAGGGCGAGCCCTCACTCCGCGAGGACAGCGCGGCGGATCCCACGGATCCCCCCGCGGTGCCCATCCCCGGCCCCCACCCGTGGGACATCGCGGGGAACCTGCGCGATCTGAGCGCCATTGCGGTGCGTGGGATCGAGGAGGCGACGCTGTTGTACGGGCGCAAGTACGGCCCCATCTGCCGGTTCGCCAACGGCGTGAGCGCGTGGACGTTCGTCAACGACGCTGACATCATCGCGCACATCTGCAGCACCAACTCCAAGAACTACTCGCGGCGCTTCCTCCCCGTAAGTGCTGCGCTCTGCGGCGCCTGTGAACCGGCGTGAGCGCGCGACGTCGGATCAGGCTACTCTTCCCTTCCTTCACTCGGCGTTTTGCTGCCCCCATGAGGCAGTGTGCGAGCACGCGACGCACGGCACCGGCATCCTGGGATGGCAGGAATGTCCCTTCACTCAAGCCTCTCCCAAGCGCTGCATTTGTGTTTCCCTCCCTCCCCTCGTCCTTTGTCTTTCCCTCCCTCCCCTCGTCCTGTGTGTTTCCCTCCCTCCCCTCGCCCTCTGTCTGTCACAGGCCGTGTACGAGTACGTGACGCACGGCAAGGGCATCCTGGGGTCGCAGGGCGAGTACAACCGCGCGCACCGCCGCATGTGCCAGCCGCCGTTCATGCGACCCAACCTGCTGAACGCCTTCTCCGACACCATCCAGTCGCAGGTGGGCTTCGGGTTCACGGTGCGCCTCCCCCCCACTCCAGCCCCAGGTGTGTGTGCCAGCCGCCCTTCATGCGAACCAACCTGCTCAACGCCTTCTCCGACACCATCCAATTGCAGGTACGGTCTACGGACATCACTATTCCAAACATCCATCTATCCCCTTCCTCCCCAGCTTCTCCCCTCCCCAGCCCTCTTGTCCCTCCCCATTCCCCGCCACCTCACTCCCTCTCGCGCCTCGCTGCCGCCTCGATTCCTTAACCGCCATAATTTCATCCTTCACCGATCACCATAGCTCCATGCTTCCTCCCCCCCCCGACCTCCAAACCCACCCACCCGTCACCCGCTTCCCCCAGCCTCGCCCTTCCCCATGGCCAGTTGAGCAGCTTAATCCCAATGTGGCGGCACAAAGCCACCACAGACGCCGGCTAACCCCTTCCAAACGTCGTCCCTTCCCTTGTCTCCCCTCCCAACCACACTCCCGCCCTTCCCCCCCCGGCCCTTGAATCCCCCTTTCCCTCATGGCCAGTTGACCAGCCTCATCTCGATGTGGCGACATCAAGCCACCACAGACGCCGGCTCCCCCCTCCCCAACGTCGTCCTGGACGGCAATCTAGCGGTTCAGATCCAGCGCTTCACGCTAGACATCATCGGAGCCGTCGCTTTCTCCAAGGACTTCGGGCAGCTGGACCGCATCCGAGCCGACCCGGCAGGCTCGGCAACCGAGGCGGACGCCGGAGCTGATAAGCTGCTAGGGGCGGTGAACGAGTCCCAGCAGCTGATGGCGAACGTGTTCATCACGCCGCTGCCGGTGCTGCAGCTGCTGAGGAGACTGGGCGAGCCGGGGATGGTGCGGCTGGATGGCGCGATGAAAGCCATGGAGCGGATCATGATGGGCGTTATTGAGGAGCGGCGGGAGAAGTGGCGGTCCACGGGGGATGCGGGCGACGACCTGCTCGGGATCCTGCTAGGCGCCACGGTAAGGGCGGGGGGTGGACAGGTAAACGGGGGTAGTGGAAGCGTCGTGGGTGCAGTGGATCGAGGAGCGGCGGGAGAAGTGGAGTGCGACGGGGGATGCAGGGGACGACCTGCTCGGAGTGCTGCTGGGAGCCGCGGTGAGACGTGCACGATGTGGTGGGTGGGGGCAGGGCACGAGACGACTTGGTCACCCCCTTCCCCCCCGTCTTTCTCCGTCATGGAACTGACCGAACCTCCCTACTATCCACGGGACGAGCAGGGGCGGCCGCTGCAGGACGAGGAGCTGTGGGAGGACGTGCACGACGTGATGGGGGCAGGGCATGAGACGACCGTGTTGCGCCTGTCGCTCCTCCCTCTACTTCCCCATTCCAATCCCCCCAGGACGAGCATGGGCGGCCGCTGCACGACGTGATGGGGGCGGGACACTTCTCGCTGGCTGGACCTCTCTCACTCTCCCTTGTACTCTGTGCAGGACGAGCAGGGACGACCACTACAAGACGAGGAGCTGTGGGAGGACGTGCACGACGTGATGGGGGCGGGGCACGAGACGACAGCCACCACCATCACGGCGTCGCTCTTCCTCATCTCGCAACACCCTGAGGCCAAGGCCAAGGTGAGTCATGCCCGGATCGTGATAGGGGGCAGGGCAGGGCAGGGCATGAGACGGCATCCACTGTGTCAGCGTCGCAGGCTAGGCCAGGCTCAAGGCTTGTCTACGCAGGCACGATGAGCGCTATCTATACACTCTCTCCTCCACTCAAAACCTTGCCTTCCCTTTCCCCATTCACTGCAGGTGCACGAGGAGCTGAGAGCACTCGATAGCCGGATGCCTGCAATTTGGCCTATGTTTCGATTCCGTGTCTCGCCCTATCCTCGGTCTCTGGCCCCGCGTCTCGCCCTGTCCTTTCCTTGTTGTCGACGTCAACAGTGGGCGCATGCCCAAACCAAACCCTCCGCGTCTGCTAAACCTCTCCTTTCTTTCTTCCTTCCTTCCCACCCCCTCCCTGCAGGTGCACGAGGAGCTGAGAGCACTCAATGGACGCATGCCCACTTTCGACGACGTCAACAGCGGGCGCCTGGCATACACGCAGATGGCAGTGAAGGAGACCCTCCGCATGTACCCGCCCATCCCGCTCTTCCCACGGGAGGTAGCGGACACTGACCGCCTGCCCGGCGGATATGAGCTCCCTGCGGGCGATGTGAGTGATCTCCCTCCTTCCTTCCAGCCCTCTCCTTTCCATCGTCCATCCCCTGTGAGACCGACCCCTTGCCGGGGGGCTATGGTCTTCCTGCAGGCGATGTGGGTGCCGTCTGCCTTCCCCAATGCCTCCGGGCAGGCAGCACTCAAGTCTCGCTGGCCTCCACTCTCCCCATCGCCACTCCTTCCCCCTTGGCCCTCATCCACCTCATCACCACTCGCACCTGCCTGTATTGCATTCCGGCAAGATGATGATTTGCAGCAGATTTTGAGCTCCGGATCCGTTTGGTTGTGGTTCTGCGGTCCACCCAATCCCTCCGCATCCCTCGCAACTCGTCTTCATGCCGACCTATGCCATGGGGCTGCCCCGGTTTATGTCCTTCCTGTTTTGCGGTACACCCACCCCCATCACCATCTCCCGCAGGTCGTATTTATGTCCACCTATGCCATGGGACGCAACCCCGTCTACTGGCCTGAACCCCTCGCCTTCAGACCGGTAACGCGCTGAGAGCAGACCCCCCTTCTCCTCTCCACCTTGATTAGGAGTGGCTCTGATGCATCCTTGCCTGCTTCTGCTGCCCTCTGCTCCCACTGCTTAGTTCCTGCCCTCTTCCCGTCCCTCCCCCTTCTGCCAAGACCCAACACCCTTAAAAACGTGTCAAGCCCCAATTGCTCCACCCTCACCCCTCAACCTCACCCCTCACCCTCACCTCTTACCCTGACTGGCCGCAGGAGCGATTCACCCCCGAGGCAGAGGCAGCGCGGCCGCGCTTTGCCTGGGTGCCATTTGGGGCGGGCCCTCGCATGTGCCTGGGAGCCAACTTCGCTGTGCTGGCCGTCACTCAAGTCGTGGCCACCCTGCTGCAGGTGGGTGCGTAGGTGTGGGTGCGTAGGTGTGGGTGCGTGAGCACATCGAAGTGAATGTAATGGGGATACTGGCCTGCATTGGCGTTTGGGGCGGGTCTTTGCACGTGCCTGGGTGCCAACATCGCTGTGCTGGCCGTCTCTCGAAGTTGTGTGGCCACCCTGCTTCAGGTGTGAGTGCGTGGGTGTGTGGGTGTGTGGGTGTGTGGGCGTGTGTACGCCTTTGTGCTGCTCGTCTCAAAAACTGTTGTGATCATATGGTGTATGGTGGAGCATGGTGTACTTTCGTCATGCATGCACAGTCTTGTATTGCTTCTTTGGCCTGCATGTGCTCTCCGGTCCCTGTGCACTCAAAGTGCTAGTTCGTGCAACCATTCACTTGATGAGGCCAACTCTTAGCCCCCTTTCTTATACCATGTCCCGTTTGCTCCCTGTTTACCCTCCAGCATTTTGACTTTGAGGGTATCAGTCCAAGTGGCAAGGAGCTTCCATTTGCCTACGATATTACGATGAATTTCCCAGGTACCATATCACACGCTGGGTTGTAAAAGCACAGTTTCCTTCCCTTCCCTGATGTGAGCATTTAGCCGGTCTTCATCTACTCTTTCTCACCCTGCTTGATGCTTCCTTTTCTTTCACTGCATGTCTTCCTCTGCTTCCAGGCGGAGTAAATATGCGCATTCGACCACACCATATGGAGATCTGAGGTAGAAGGATCCATGGAACGTTGCCATCATCAGTAGAACTTGCTAGTGTGGAGATGATGTTGCATTAGATGCTTCATGGTGTCCAATAGCTAGACTGATTTTTAGAAAACACCTTGGCTTGTGTTGTAAGTTATGTGTGTATAGTTGCTTCTCCCTTTTGCATGGTTATAGATGTATCACGCTGAAGGGAGGTAAGGCATGGGATGGGATGGGAGTGATGGTAGTGAATGAATCTAAGTGTACATCATGCAACATAATAAGTTTTTGCAGTTCTCTAGTGGACCACTGAAATAACAAGATTCGATAGTTTCGAGGTCGCTCGCGTCCTTGCTATTGCAGTCGTCCAGTAGCATAGGGAACTCCAACAATTCCTCTCATGTGCCATGAGTCATGACGTCAGCGATATGACTTCCACGCCACGCCACATGGACAGCTAATGTCATCCAGGGAAGGCAGGATGCTATTCGTACCTTGTGACCAATAGCCGTTGGTACATCCTCGTAACTAGCAGTTCGTGGTAGTTAACATCAGAGTCAAGCGACGATAGCAGAAGCAGCACACCGCGGGTCGTGACTCGACATAATCACAATAATGGATAATTGTAATGCTGACAGCACGGAGCCAGCGCCAGACTCAGTGGGAAGCCCCGGAGGTCCCGGCGCAGACAGTGCGATCAGCAGCAGCGGCGGTAGCAACAGCGGCCGTAGCAGCACCAGTAGCCATACGAGACTGGGAGGTTCGGAAACAGCCTCGACAGAAATTCCAGCGGCAATCGCGGTCGGGGGAGGCCCCTGGGGCGCAGTAGGCGACACTGGCGGAATCGTGCCTGGCGGAACAGCGGGAACAGGGGGAAGGGGAGCAAGTCCAGTAATGGGGGGGCTAGGGGGAGCGCGGCCAATGTCCCCGCATCTGGATTTGCGCGGAGCCGCGATTCAGACATTCCCGAGGGACGCTGCTGGCGCGCAGACGACCATTGTGCTCCCGAACCAGCGCTCGGACGTGCTGCACTTCGCCCTCGATATCGGAGGTACTTCGTCTGCGGTTTCCAACCATTTCAGGAATCAATGTCCAGCCGTTTTCAGAAACGAATGGTCAGTCGTTTACAGGAATTAATGACCAGGCGTTATCACGAATCAGTGTCCAGCAAGTTCCAGGAATCAGCGTGGAGCAGTTTTCATGAGTCAATGCCCAGCCGGTTCCAGAAGTTCCCAAGGTTTTCTCATCAATTTATTCCGTACCCCTGCCCACCCTTCTCCTCAGGTTCCCTCATCAAGCTTGTGTACTTCTCCCGCATCCCCCCCCACCTTGAACACGGGGCCTCCTTCCCCTCTCTCATCTCCCCTACTGCCAATGCTGCTGCTTCTGCTGCCGGCACTCCTGCTGGTAATGATTGCACGGACGGCTCCACCCAGACGCCCAGTGCTACGGCTTCTGCTGCTGCTGCTGCTGCTGCCGCTATTGCAGCAGCCAGCAGTGCGGCCGCTGTGCCAAGAGCAGTTGACAGGAGAGCGTCGTTTTCTGGTGGAGGGGGTTCTTTCCGGTCGGGAGGCGGGGGGCGGCTACACTTTGTCAAGTTTGAGACAGCGAGAATCGCAGAGTGCATTGAGTTTATCAAGTCCAAGAGGCTTCACAGCTTCGATATTCTGGGTGAGGGGGGGGATGCAGTGGGGGGGGATGCAGTGGGTGGGGGATGCAGTGGGGGGGGATGCAGTGGGTGGGGGATGCAGTGGGTGGGGGATGCAGTGGGTGGGGGATGCAGTGGGTGGGGGATGCAGTGGGTGGGGGATGCAGTGGGTGGGGGATGCAGTGGGTGGGGGATGCAGTGGGGGGGGGATGCAGTGGGTGGGGGATGCAGTGGGTGGGGGATGCAGTGGGTGGGGGATGCAGTGGGGGGGAATGCAGTGGGGAGGGTGATGCAGTGGGGGGGATGCAGTGGGGGGGGATGCAGTGGGGGGGGGATGCAGTGGGGGGGGGATGCAGTGGGTGGGGATACAGAGCGTGGGGATACCGAGGGTGGATAGGTGGAATGGAATGGAGAGGGAGCGATTAGGAGGGGAGACAAAGGGCTAAAAAAATTGAGGGATTTCTGGTAGGGGTGCAATCTACCAAAGGGGCTTCGATGTTCAACCTCATCATATGTTCAATCTCATCATAAGTTTGACCCCCCATCTCAATATAGTATTTCCCAATCCTTGTTGCCGCTCTTCCCATCGTTCCCTGTTTTCCCTTCCCTGAGACAAGGAATGGGTGGCGACGAGGAGAGCCTATGGGGCTATGGGTCCAGCTCACCTCACATCAAGGTGCGTTCTGCCGTACATGCAAGCGTGCATGCATCAACGTTCATGAGTGCGTCGGCACATCATCACGTTCATGCAACCAATGTGCGTGAGATGCCCGTTCGTAGCATATATGTGCCATCCTTCTATGTTTCCGTCCCATGCGCCTCGTGGGACCACGCTGTAGCTCCTCCACTGCTGTGCACCATCCCCTTGTGTGTTTTGAGTCGACTCAAAATGAGCGTCGTCGGACCACAACATGGCTTCTCCACTGCTATGCGCCATCCCCGCACCCCCTTGTGTGTCAGGCCACAGGGGGCGGGGCGTTCAAGTATACGGATCTGTTCAGGGAGAAGCTGGGAGTGGTGCTGGACAAGGAGGACGAGATGCGCTGCCTCGTGCTCGGACTCAACTTCCTGCTCAGGGTAGGCCCGCCTTTCAAAAGTCATCTCAGGGTATGCCCGCCTTTCAGCCCCACATAGCCCCAAACCCTATTGCTGAACTCGGCCCTTTGTTTGCCTGTTCGCTTGTCCGCTCTCGAATCCATTTTCGACTAGGCAATCACCTCAGAAGCATTTCAGCAGCTTCCGCCAAGGTTAAAGCCCAGGTCCCAAATTAGTCAAGCAGGCATCAAACCAGGCAGGCTTGCCCGTTTATGCGGCTTGGCCTAGAGCACTGACAATTTAACCCCCTTTACGCATCTCCCTCCCCCCCCACCCTTCCCCCCATCCCAGTCCATCCGCGACGAGGCGTTCACGCACCTGGTGGGCGAGAAGCAGTTCCGTAACCTGCCTGCACAATGAAATAGCCTTCTCCATTCACCCCCTCACCCCTCCTCTCTCCACCGTCCCTTCCCCCCATCGCAGTCCATCCGCGACGAGGCGTTCACGCACCTGGAGGGCGAGAAGCAGTTTGTGGAGATGCATGCTGGAAACATCTTCCCCTACCTGCTCGTCAACATCGGCTCGGGCGTCAGCATCCTCAAGGTGAGGCTGTCCTGTCCGCCGCACCAGTTTTCCTCAAAGGGGGTAGATTAACCCGCTTCCAGCAAGCGGTGAATCTACCCACTTTGGAAACATCTCCCCTACCCGCTCGCCAACATGGGCTCGGGCGTCAGCATCCTCAAGGTGTGGGGGCGACTGTTCTCCCTCGCAGTATCAGTGTGCTTTCCCTCACCTGCTATGTCGTTCTTCGAGGAGGACAGGCATATGCCCACTTAACCGTACCCTTGCCAGCTTGTCTTTTCTACAAACCTGACAACCCGATCTGTCATGCCGTCATCCCTCTCAGCGCATTGCGCACCGTGTGCACCGCGTGCCGGTAGATGCCCTGCTGCAGTTGAGGTGCCTCATCAATCGTCTCAGGCAGACAGCCCGCAGCAGTGCGAGAGGGTCAGTGCGATCAGCGGGACGAGCTCTGGGAGGCAACCCAAGCAATGGTGCGTGCTGCATGTGTTCTTCTCTATCAACGCTTTCACCTCCCACCCCCCTCTGCCCACTGTCGCAGGTGGATGGCCCGCAGCAGTACGAGCGGGTCAGTGGCACCAACCTGGGGGGCGGCACCTTCTGGGGGCTTGGCAGCCTGCTCACAGGGTGCAAGAGGTGAGATGCTGCGGTCAGGGCCCACCGTTATTCACAGTCTCTTCTTCGTGCCCTCTTGCACATCACAATTGTTTTTCACAGCCTGCCTGTGCTGCTTCATGTTTGTCCTTCTTCTCTGCCCTCTTCTTTCAGCTTTGACAAGAGCTCCTCCTGCTCAGCCTGTAGCGGTCAGCGTTTCATACGTCTTCTGTTCTTCTTCCCCCCTCCTGCTTCCTCACACCCTCCCTTGTTCATTCCCCTCCTATGATCCGATCTTCATTCCACTGCCGCCAGTTTTGACAAGATACTGGAGCTCAGTCAGGAGGGTGATAACTCGGCTGTGGACATGCTGGTGGGCGACATTTATGGCGGACTCAACTATGAGAAGGTGAGGTCAACTATGAGAAGGTGAGGTCAACTATGAGAAGGTGAGGTCAAAAATGAGAAGGTGAGGTCAACTATGAGAAGGTGAGGGTCAACTATGAGAAGGTGAGGTCAACTGTGAGAAGCTAATCTCTCCAGCTACCTTTGCATTATCTGCCACAACAACCTCCATGTAGCAACCACCACTCATCTATCCTTTGGACCGCTCCCTCGGAGGACATAGCGCCCCCCCTCCTGCCCATGTTGTCAGACCTCAACGCCCAAAGCACATTGCTCTCTCCTCGTTCCGTCTCTGCCACCGCCTCCCCGCAACAGATTGGCTTATCCGCGTCCACCATCGCATCCAGCTTCGGCCGCGTGGTGGGCGAGCAGAAACAGCTGGCGGACTACCGGCCGGAGGACATTGCCCTCTCTCTCCTGCGCATGGTGTCGTACAACATCGGGCAGATCGCGTACCTCAACGCGCTGCGCTACGGGCTCAAGCGCATTTTCTTTGGGGGGTTCTTCATACGCGGCCACGCGTACACCATGGACACCATCTCCTTCGCCATCAAGTTCTGGTGCGTGCCAGAAGACAGACTCCATGGATATTGATTGTGAAGGCAGACGAGAGGGCTCACTGAGGAACTGACTCCACTCAGCTGGGGCTTGCGGCCCTTTATGATGGATGCCATCCCGTTGGCCGTCAGGTTCTGGTGGGTGTGGGTCCTTTTTGGGCTCCTCAACAGCATCTCCTTGGCTGTCACCCTCTGATGCGTGCCTGTTGACCCCTGCGCTGGTTACCATTTCAACACAGACACTGACTGAGGCACGGGCACGGTGAACCATGAGTATGGTGCACCACGGGCACAGTGAACCATGAGTATGGTGCACCACGGGCACTGTGAACCATGAGCATGGTGCACCACGGGCACGGTGAACCATGAGTATGGCGCACCACGGGCACGGTGCCCCACGGGCATATACAGAGAGTTCATCCGTGGCCACCAAGCGTGTGGCCCATGGGCACCTTCTCCTTTGCTATCGATTACTGGTGCATGCGGGGCTTAGTTCGTGTGCTGTGGTGGGTGTGGGTTGTTGATCCGTGAATGAGACTGAGCTGAGAGAAGGCCACGCCTACACCATGGATACCGTCTCCTTCGCCATCATGTTCTGATGCGTGCTAGTTGACGGCCGCCCTCTCCTCCCCCCCACCCCACACACACCGCCCCTTCACCCCCCTCCCCCCCTTCCCCCAGGTCCAAGGGCGAGAAGCAGGCCATGTTTCTGCGGCACGAGGGCTACCTGGGAGCGCTGGGCGCCTTCCTCGCGCATGAGGAGGACGCACACGGAGGGGCGGGGCCTCTCCGTTACTCCCTTCACCACCTCCCTCACCTCCCTCACCTCCCTCACCTCCCTCACCTCCCTCAACCGCTCCCATACCAACACCCCCCCCCCCCTTCGCTCCCAGGTCCAAGGGTGAGAAGCAGGCCATGTTTCTGCGGCACGAGGGCTACCTGGGAGCGCTGGGCGCCTTCCTCGCGCACGAGGAGGACGCTCATGCAGAGGGGCGCGGACTCTCTCTGACCCCCGGCATCGCGTCGCTCTCGTCCCTCACCCCCTCGCAACTCGTGGAGCGCTTCCCCATGGGCGCGCCATTTTCAAAGGGAGAGATCAGAGGCCCGGTGATTCGAGGGCTCAAGGAGAAGGTGTCGTGGGTGGAGAAGTTTGTGCAGGTGAGGAGTTTGGGCAGGTGAGAAGTTCGGGCAGGTGAGGAAAATCTCTTTAAGCTAGATTACTGATGAAAGGAGAAGGGGTTGTTGAAGAAAGTAGTGGAAATGTAGTGCAGGTGGGGAATGGCATAACAGCTGGCACTCCACGCCGACAGGCAAGTCCTTCACAACATGGGGCTGGGAGGGTTTGCACGGCAGCGGGGGCAGGGGAAGGGATCCGAAATACAGAACATTTTTTAGGCGCCTCAAGAGCAGGGGAAGGGATCCAAAATACAGAACATCACCTTTCTGCGTGCAGGTGGGGAGCGACATAACAGCACCCACGCCGACAGGCAAGCCCCCAACAACGACGGGGTTGGGAGGGTTTGCGCGGCCGCGGGAGCAGGGCAAGGAGCTGAGGTCAGACGAGTCGGCGCTCAACGTGGGCGTGCTGCACCTCGTGCCGTCCCTGGAAGTGTTCCCCTTGCTGGCGGATCCCCTCAGGTGAGAGGGAGGTTGGTTGGCTGGTAGCAGCCAGGTGAGAGGGAGGTTGGTTGGCTGGTAGCAGCCAGGTGAGAGGGAGGTTGGTTGGCTGGTAGCAGCCAGGTGAGAGGGAGGTTGGTTGGTTGGTAGCAGCCAGGTGAGAGGGAGGTTGGTTGGTTGGTAGCAGCCAGGTGAGAGGGAGGTTGGTTGGTTGGTAGCAGCCAGGTGAGAGGGAGGTTGGTTGGTTGGTAGCAGCCAGGTGAGGCGTGTTCCTGTAGTAAGGGTGAAAGGGCGTTTTTCTTCGTCTTGCTTATTATGGCCGTGCTGCACAGCACCTGGTGTCGGTGCACCTGGTGTCGGTGCACCTGGTGTTGGTGCACCTGGTGTCGGTGCACCTGGTGTCCGTGCTCCTGGTGTTGGTGCACCTGGTGTCGGTGCACCTGGTGTTGGTGCACCTGGTGTCGGTGCACCTGGTGTCGGTGCACCTGGTGTCGGTGCACCTGGTGTCGGTGCACCTGGTGTCGGTGCACCTGGTGTCGGTGCACCTGGTGTCGGTGCACCTGGTGTCGGTGCTCCTGGTGTCGGTGCACCTGGTGTCGGTGCATCTGGTGTCGGTGCACCTGGTGTCGGTGCACCTGGTGTCGGTGCACCTGGTGTCGGTGCACCTGGTGCTGGTGCACCTGGTGTCGGTGCACCTGGTGTCGGTGCACCTGGTGTCGGTGCTCCTGGTGTCGGTGCACCTGGTGTTGGTGCACCTGGTGTCGGTGCACCTGGTGTCGGTGCACCTGGTGTCGGTGCACCTGGTGTTGGTGCACCTGGTGTCGGTGCACCTGGTGTCGGTGCTCCTGGTGTTGGTGCACCTGGTGTCGGTGCACCTGGTGTCGGTGCACCTGGTGTCTGTGCACCTGGTGTCGGTGCACCTGGTGTTGGTGCACCTGGTGTCGGTGCACCTGGTGCCGGTGCACCTGGTGTCGGTGCTCCTGGTGTTGGTGCACCTGGTGTCGGTGCACCTGGTGTTGGTGCACCTGGTGTTGGTGCACCTGGTGTCGGTGCACCTGGTGTCGGTGCACCTGGTGTCGGTGCACCTGGTGTCGGTGCTCCTGGTGTCGGTGCACCTGGTGTCGGTGCTCCTGGTGTCGGTGCACCTGGTGTCGGTGCATCTGGTGTCCGTGCACCTGGTGTCGGTGCACCTGGTGTCGGTGCACCTGGTGTCGGTGCACCTGGTGCTGGTGCACCTGGTGTCGGTGCACCTGGTGTCGGCGCTCCTGGTGTTGGTGCACCTGGTGTTGGTGCACCTGGTGTCGGTGCACCTGGTGTCGGTGCACCTGGTGTCGGTGCACCTGGTGTCGGTGCACCTGGTGTTGGTGCACCTGGTGTCGGTGCACCTGGTGTCGGTGCTCCTGGTGTCGGTGCACCTGGTGTTGGTGCACCTGGTGTCGGTGCACCTGGTGTCGGTGCTCCTGGTGTCGGTGCACCTGGTGTTTGTGCACCTGGTGTCGGTGCACCTGGTGTCGGTGCACCTGGTTTCGGTGCACCTGGTGTCGGTGCTCCTGGTGTTGGTGCACCTGGTGTCGGTGCATCTGGTGTCGGTGCACCTGGTGTCGGTGCACCTGGTGTTGGTGCACCTGGTGTCGGTGCACCTGGTGTTGGTGCACCTGGTGTCGGTGCACCTGGTGTCGGTGCTCCTGGTGTTGGTGCACCTGGTGTCGGTGCACCTGGTGTTGGTGCACCTGGTGTCGGTGCACCTGGTGTCGGTGCACCTGGTGTCTGTGCACCTGGTGTCGGTGCACCTGGTGTCGGTGCACCTGGTGCCGGTGCACCTGGTGCCGGTGCACCTGGTGTCGGTGTCGGTGCACCTGGTGTCGGTGCACCTGGTGTCGGTGCACCTGGTGTCGGTGCACCTGGTGTTGGTGCACCTGGTGTTGGTGCACCTGGTGTCGGTGCACCTGGTGTCGGTGCACCTGGTGTCGGTGCTCCTGGTGTCGGTGCTCCTGGTGTGGGTGCACCTGGTGTTGGTGCACCTGGTGTCGGTGCACCTGGTGTCGGTGCACCTGGTGTTTGTGCACCTGGTGTCGGTGCACCTGGTGTCGGTGCACCTGGTTTCGGTGCACCTGGTGTCGGTGCTCCTGGTGTTGGTGCACCTGGTGTCGGTGCACCTGGTGTTGGTGCACCTGGTGTCGGTGCACCTGGTGTCGGTGCACCTGGTGTCGGTGCACCTGGTGTCGGTGCACCTGGTGTCGGTGCACCTGGTGCCGGTGCACCTGGTGCCGGTGCACCTGGTGTCGGTGTCGGTGCACCTGGTGTCGGTGCACCTGGTGTCGGTGCACCTGGTGTCGGTGCACCTGGTGTTGGTGCACCTGGTGTTGGTGCACCTGGTGTCGGTGCACCTGGTGTCGGTGCACCTGGTGTCGGTGCTCCTGGTGTCGGTGCTCCTGGTGTGGGTGCACCTGGTGTTGGTGCACCTGGTGTCGGTGCACCTGGTGTCGGTGCACCTGGTGTTGGTGCACCTGGTGTCGGTGCACCTGGTGTCGGTGCACCTGGTGTTTGTGCACCTGGTGTCGGTGCACCTGGTGTCGGTGCACCTGGTTTCGGTGCATCTGGTGTCGGTGCACCTGGTGTCGGTGCACCTGGTGTTGGTGCACCTGGTGTCGGTGCACCTGGTGTTGGTGCACCTGGTGTCGGTGCACCTGGTGTCGGTGCACCTGGTGTTGGTGCACCTGGTGTCGGTGCACCTGGTGTCGGTGCACCTGGTGTCGGTGCTCCTGGTGTTGGTGCACCTGGTGTCTGTGCACCTGGTGTCGGTGCACCTGGTGTTGGTGCACCTGGTGTCGGTGCACCTGGTGCCGGTGCACCTGGTGTCGGTGCTCCTGGTGTTGATGCACCTGGTGTCGGTGCACCTGGTGTCGGTGCACCTGGTGTCGGTGCACCTGGTGTCGGTGCTCCTGGTGTCGGTGCACCTGGTGTCGGTGCATCTGGTGTCCGTGCACTTGGTGTCGGTGCACCTGGTGTCGGTGCACCTGGTGCTGGTGCACCTGGTGTCGGTGCACCTGGTGTCGGTGCACCTGGTGTCGGTGCTCCTGGTGTTGGTGCACCTGGTGTTGGTGCACCTGGTGTCGGTGCACCTGGTGTCGGTGCACCTGGTGTCGGTGCACCTGGTGTCGGTGCACCTGGTGTTGGTGCACCTGGTGTCGGTGCTCCTGGTGTCGGTGCTCCTGGTGTGGGTGCACCTGGTGTTGGTGCACCTGGTGTCGGTGCACCTGGTGTCGGTGCACCTGGTGTTTGTGCACCTGGTGTCGGTGCACCTGGTTTCGGTGCACCTGGTGTCGGTGCTCCTGGTGTTGGTGCACCTGGTGTCGGTGCATCTGGTGTCGGTGCACCTGGTGTCGGTGCACCTGGTGTTGGTGCACCTGGTGTCGGTGCACCTGGTGTCGGTGCACCTGGTGTCTGTGCACCTGGTGCCGGTGCACCTGGTGTTGGTGCACCTGGTGTCGGTGCACCTGGTGCCTGTGCACCTGCTGTTTTTCTTCCCCTTGCTGGCGGATCCGCTTGGGTGAGAGAGGTGCTTAGTGGTGTGGGTTCTATTGGGGGTGATGGGGCACCTGGCATGTGGCATGGTGAGGCAGGGGCATCTTTTGTGACAGGTGAGCGACGGTTTGGGTCCCTCTCTGTTCGCCTTGCCTTATATTCTCCTCCTCTGCCACCCGTCTCCCGTCTCGCCCTTCTCCTGCCGCATCTCCATCCAACACCTACGAGCCCAAACACAGCGGTCCTTGTAAGTCTCTCTTTTATATTTCTCTATCCCATCCCCTCTTCATGAGTCCGAGTTTGGCACATCCGAATCTTAGCGCCCCTCTCACCCATCTGTCGAGCCCATGCCCTCTCCTGTCCTCTCCTGTTCTCTCCGGTCCTCTCCTGTCCTCTCCTGTTCTCTCCTGTCCTCTCCTGTCCTCTCCTGTTCTCTCCTGTCCTCTCCTGTCCTCTCCTGTTCTCTCCTGTCCTCTCCTGTCCTCTCCTGTCCTCTCCTTTTCTCTCCTGTCCTCTCCTGTCCTCTCCTGTTCTCTCCTGTCCTCTCCTGTCCTCTCCTGTTCTCTCCTGTCCTCTCCTGTTCTCTCCTGTCCTCTCCTGTTCTCTCCTGTTCTCTCCTGTTCTCTCCTGTCCTCTCCTGTTCTCTCCTGTCCTCTCCTGTTCTCTCCTGTTCTCTCCTGTTCTCTCCTGTTCTCTCCTGTTCTCTCCTGTTCTCTCCTGTTCTCTCCTGTTTTTTTCTGTTCTCTCCTGTTCTCTCCTGTTCTCTCCTGTTCTCTCCTGTTCTCTCCTGTTCTCTCCTGTTCTCTCCTGTTCTCTCCTGTTCTCTCCTGTTCTCTCCTGTTCTCTCCTGTCCTCTCCTGTTCTCTCCTGTTCTCTCCTGTTCTCTCCTGTTCTCTCCTGTTTTTTTTTTTTTTTTTTTTTTTTTTTTTTTTTTTTTTTTTTTCTCTCCTGTTCTCTCCTGTTCTCTCCTGTTCTCTCCTGTTCTCTCCTGTTCTCTCCTGTTCTCTCCTGTTCTCTCCTGTTCTCTCCTGTTCTCTCCTGTTCTCTCCTGTTCTCTCCTGTTCTCTCCTGTTCTCTCCTGTTCTCTCCTGTTCTCTCCTGTTCTCTCCTGTTCTCTCCTGTTCTCTCCTGTTTTTTTTTTTTTTTTTTTTTCTCTCCTGTTCTCTCCTGTTCTCTCCTGTTCTCTCCTGTTCTCTCCTGTTCTCTCCTGTTCTCTCCTGTTCTCTCCTGTTCTCTCCTGTTCTCTCCTGTTCTCTCCTGTTCTCTCCTGTTCTCTCCTGTTCCTCTCCTGTTCTCTCCTGTTCTCTCCTGTTCTCTCCTGTTCTCTCCTGTTCTCTCCTGTTCTCTCCTGTTCTCTCCTGTTCTCTCCTGTTCTCTCCTGTTCTCTCCTGTTCTCTTTTTTCCTGTTCTCTCCTGTTCTCTCCTGTTCTCTCCTGTTCTCTCCTGTCTCTCCTGTTCTCTCCTGTCTCTCCTGTTCTCTCCTGTCCTCTCCTGTTCTCTCCTGTTCTCTCCTGTTCTCTCCTGTTCTCTCCTGTCCTCTCCTGTTCTCTCCTGTCCTCTCCTGTTCTCTCCTGTTCTCTCCTGTTCTCTCCTGTTCTCTCCTGTTCTCTCCTGTTCTCTCCTGTTCTCTCCTGTTCTCTCCTGTTCTCTCCTGTTCTCTCCTGTTCTCTCCTGTTCTCTCCTGTTCTCTCCTGTTCTCTCCTGTTCTCTCCTGTTCTCTCCTGTTCTCTCCTGTTCTCTCCTGTTCTCTCCTGTTCTCTCCTGTTCTCTCCTGTTCTCTCCTGTTCTCTCCTGTTCTCTCCTGTTCTCTCCTGTTCTCTCCTGTTCTCTCCTGTTCTCTCCTGTTCTCTCCTGTTCTCTCCTGTTCTCTCCTGTTCTCTCCTGTTCTCTCCTGTTCTCTCCTGTTCTCTCCTGTTCTCTCCTGTTCTCTCCTGTTCTCTCCTGTTCTCTCCTGTTCTCTCCTGTTCTCTCCTGTTCTCTCCTGTCCTCTCCTGTTCTCTCCTGTTCTCTCCTGTTCTCTCCTGTTCTCTCCTGTCCTCTCCTGTTCTCTCCTGTTCTCTCCTGTTCTCTCCTGTTCTCTCCTGTTCTCTCCTGTTCTCTCCTGTTCTCTCCTGTTCTCTCCTGTTCTCTCCTGTTCTCTCCTGTTCTCTCCTGTTCTCTCCTGTTCTCTCCTGTCCTCTCCTGTTCTCTCCTGTCCTCTCCTGTTCTCTCCTGTTCTCTCCTGTTCTCTCCTGTTCTCTCCTGTTCTCTCCTGTTCTCTCCTGTTCTCTCCTGTTCTCTCCTGTTCTCTCCTGTTCTCTCCTTTTCCTGTTCTCTCCTGTTCTCTCCTGTTCTCTCCTGTTCTCTCCTGTTCTCTCCTGTTCTCTCCTGTTCTCTCCTGTTCTCTCCTGTCCTCTCCTGTTCTCTCCTGTTTCTCTCCTGTTCTCTCCTGTTCTCTCCTGTTCTCTCCTGTTCTCTCCTGTTCTCTCTGTTTTCTGTTCTCTCCTGTTCCTCTCCTGTTCTCTCCTGTTCTCTCCTGTTCTCTCCTGTTCTCTCCTGTTCTCTCCTGTTCTCTCCTGTTCTCTCCTGTCCTCTCCTGTTCTCTCCTGTTCTTCCTGTTCTCTCCTGTTCTCTCCTGTCTCTCCTGTTCTCTCCTGTTCTCTCCTTCTCTCCTGTTCTCTCCTGTCCTCTCCTGTTCTCTCCTGTTCTCTCCTGTTCTCTCCTGTTCTCTCCTGTTCTCTCCTGTTCTCTCCTGTTCTCTCCTGTCCTGTTCTCTCCTGTTCTCTCCTGTTCTCTCCTGTTCTCTCTGTTCTCTCCTGTTCTCTCCTGTTCTCTCCTGTCCTCCTGTTCTCTCCTGTCCTCTCCTGTTCTCTCCTGTTCTCTCCTGTTCTCTCCTGTTCTCTCCTGTTCTCTCCTGTTCTCTCCTGTTCTCTCCTGTTCTCTCCTGTTCTCTCCTGTTCTCTCCTGTTCTCTCCTGTTCTCTCCTGTTCTCTCCTGTTCTCTCCTGTTTTCTCCTGTTCTCTCCTGTTCTCTCCTGTTCTCTCCTGTTCTCTCCTGTTCTCTCCTGTCCTCTCCTGTCCTCTCCTGTCCTCTCCTGTCCTCTCCTGTCCCCTCCTGTTACCTCCTCTTGCATCCCCCCCCACCAGCTACGAGCCCAACACGGTGGACCTCTCAGACCCCGATGAGAGGGAGTGAGTGGGGCACGGGGGAGGGACAGCCGGTTTTTCTGGGCAAGGAGAAATGGGGGAGGAGGGGGGGAGGTTGTGGGCTAGAGGGGAAGTCGTGATTTTATGGAAATGGGTAGTGTCAGCTAGAGCTTCACTTGTTGAAACCCGTCTCTCCTGTTGCAATCCCCACCAACCCCTTCTGCCTGTTCACATTTCGCCTGTCGCATGGTTCCGTTTTCGTGCGTCTGGCATGGCATGGCGCCGCGTTTCCCAAATCACTTGTCCCAATGTATGGTGGCATGATGGTATGGAGGCATGATGGTGTGGTGGCACGGTGGCATGTTGGGATGTTGGCATGGGGGCACCGTGCATGGTGGTATGATGGTATGGTGCTGTGGTGGTATGGTGGCATGATGCTATGGTGTTATGGTGGCATGATGCTATGGTGGTATGGTGGCATGATGCTATGGTGGTATGGTGGCATGATGCTATGGTGGTATGGTGGCATGGTGCTATGGTGCTATGGTGGCATGCTTGCACATGCCCATCAGGTATTGGCTCGGGATTCTTCAGGATCACATTCCCAACCTCGTGGAGAAGGTAATGTGAAGAGGAGACGCTGGGGTTGCTCTAGCAGGTTTTGGGGAAGGGCTACAGACCTCTATGCCTGGAGGGCTATGCGCCCGCTACTCCTCTACAGAAACATTCCCTTTTTTGCATAGTGGTAAGCGGCTGCGTTTCTGACCGGTAAGAGGCGCAACCAAGGGGGACGTTGGACTAATAAGCAGCGCCATGTCCAGTCAAGTCAGGACAGTTGGTGGCCAGGACTGACCACTGGGGTTGCTTTCCTCGCGCACTCCCTTCGACTCTTGTTTCAATTCCTTCTCTCTGGCTTTCTCCTCTCCCCTTTGTTGCATCGCCCTCTTGCTGTCTCTCCTACCTCTCACCCACCTCCGTTCCCCTGCAGGCAGTGGCCAGTGAGGGAGCCACGGAGGATGCTAGGCGGCGGGGGGATGCGTTTGCGTTGGCCTTTAGGGCGCACCTCACCAGGTCAGTGGACTGCTGCTGCTACTGCTCCTACTTCTTCTGGCTCTGCTGCTCCTGTTGCCCCTTCTGATTCTATTGCTCTTGCTGTTGTTGCTGTTGTTGCTGCTTCTGGTTCTGCTGCTGCTGTTGCCTCTGCTGCGGCTGCTGCTGTTGTTGCTGCTGCTGCTGCTGTCGCTGATGCTGCTTCTTCTGCTGCTGCTGCTTGGGAAGCAGCCAGCAGCATGCAGGGGCTTGTGTTGGCAGCTTTGATCTATCACGAGATAATTGTTTCCACGAGGGCCAACCTCCCCTTCGCCCACAGGCTAAGGCAGGGCCAACCTCCCCTTCGCCCACAGGCTAAGGCAGGGCCCAATGGCGTAGGGGTGGGGAACAAAGGGGGGGGCACTGCTGGTGCACTGCTGGTGTATCACTGCTGATCCATCATCTCATCACTCCCTGCACTGCACCTGGCCCAACTACCCCGTCACCCGCAGGCTGCGAGAGGAGCCAGCAGCGTACGGGCGGCTGGGGCTGGCAACGCTGCTGGAGATGCGGGAGGAGTGCCTGAGGGAGTTCCACTTCTTCGATGCGTACCGCGCCGTCAAGCAGAGGTCAGCTCTGAGGCGGTGCCGTCAAGCAGAGGTCAGCTCTGAGGCGGTGCCGTCAAGCAGAGGTCAGCTCTGAGGCGGTGCCGTCAAGCAGAGGTCAGCTCTGAGGCGGTGCCGTCAAGCAGAGGTCAGCTCTGAGGCGGTGCCGTCAAGCAGAGGTCAGCTCTGAGGCGGTGCCGTCAAGCAGAGGTCAGCTCTGAGGCGGTGCCGTCAAGCAGAGGTCAGCTCTGAGGCGGTGCCGTCAAGCAGAGGTCAGCTCTGAGGCGGTGCCGTCAAGCAGAGGTCAGCTCTGAGGCGGTGCCGTCAAGCAGAGGTCAGCTCTGAGGCGGTGCCGTCAAGCAGAGGTCAGCTCTGAGGCGGTGCCGTCAAGCAGAGGTCAGCTCTGAGGCGGTGCCGTCAAGCAGAGGTCAGCTCTGAGGCGGTGCCGTCAAGCAGAGGTCAGCTCTGAGGCGGTGCCGTCAAGCAGAGGTCAGCTCTGAGGCGGTGCCGTCAAGCAGAGGTCAGCTCTGAGGCGGTGCCGTTAGGCAGAGGTGAGCTTTGGGGCAGTTCTTCCCGACCTCGTAGCCGAGCTGGACAGCATCCTTTTTGGATCGAATCAAAAGCCCCGTGCGGCATTGTAACGAGAGGGCTATTGAGTCGACTCAAAAGTCTTCTTGCTGCTTTCCTGTTTGCCCCACGATCCTCAGGGAGAACGACGTTTCGCTGTCAGTGCTTCCCGACCTCCTTGCCGAGCTGGACAGCATCCCCCCTGTAAGCTGCCCCTCGTATGATTCCCCCCTGGACAGCATCCCCCCTGTAAGCTGCCCCTCGTGTGTTTGTCTATTCAGATTTTTTGAGACGTGTCAAGTTTTCTTCCCCTGCGAGCCGGTCCTCGTGGAATATGCACATGTGACTAGACGAGAGGCGTTGAAGGTGGGTGGAGAGGGAAGGTGGGTGCATAATGACAGCATTTTTCATCCGAACAGCAACAGCAGCATTGCTTCCTTCTCCCCCCCTCCTCATCCTAGTCGAATTGAATCACCTCTCCATCCTCGCGCTCCTGTGCCCCCCCCATAACCAGGACGAGCGTCTGCTGACAGTGGTGGGGGGGGTACTAGCAGCGAACATATTTGACTGGGGGTCGCGGGAGTGTGTGAAGCTGTACCGCAGCGGCACCATCCTCGACATCTACCGCATGAGTCGCGACAAGATGAAGCGCCCCTGGCGGGTCGACGACTTTGACGCCTTCCACCAGCGCTGGCAGCAGCGGCCGTACAGCAAGGCGCTGCTGTTTGTGGACAATGCTGGGGCTGATGTCGTGCTGGGGATGCTGCCTCTTGCGAGGGAGATGCTACGAGCCGGGATGAATGTGAGTGTAGTGGGTGTGTGGGACGTGACTGTATGTAATAGCTATTCAAGGTCAATGCAGGTGGTGATGGTCATTGTGGGGATGCTGCTTGTATTGCAGGAGATGCTAAGAGCTGGAGCCAGTGGGTGAATGGCTGTCATGCCTGCCCTCCTCTCCTGCCCTCCTCTCCTGCCCTCCTCTCCTGCCCTCCTCTCCTGCCCTCCTCTCCTGCCCTCCTCTCCTGCCCTCCTCTCCTGCCCTCCTCTCCTGCCCTCCTCTCCTGCCCTCCTCTCCTGCCCTCCTCTCCTGCCCTCTCCATCCCTTCCTTGCTCTCCCCCATTCACACTGTTCCTGGTGGTGCTAATGACCAGCTCCCCCCCGCATACCCTTTCCTACCCCTCCCCACCCCTCCCCTCCCTCCCTCCCCCCCTCGTGGAACCCCCACCCCTCTGGCCCTGCAGGTGGTGCTGGTGGCGAACTCGCTGCCGGCCATCAACGACGTCACAGCAGAGGAGCTCACCGCCGTGGTGGCAGAGGCAGCTAAGGTGGGAGGGAGAGAGAAGCGAATGAGAAACAAGAGATACAGAGCGGGATGCTAGAGGAGGGGGATGCTAGAGGAGGGGGATGCTAGAGGGGGATGCTAGAGGGGGATGCTAGAGGGGGATGCTAGAGGGGGATGCTAGAGGGGGATGCTAGAGGGAAATGAATGGATAGAGTGGGATGGGAATGATTTACAGACCGGTGTACCAATAGAGAGGCTGAATTCTGAGTCGGGGAGGGGGCTGCAGTGACTAGGGAAGAGGAGAGAGAGTGAGGAGGGGATTGTAGATGAGGGACGAGAGGGGGGTGGTGAACAAGGGTAGAGGGAGACAAAGGGAGATGGGGGATGGAACGTCATTCTTTGCTGGTTGTGTATCTCTGAGCGATATCCTCTGCTCCCCCATGGCTCCCAACAACCGTTTTCTCCTCTAACCCACCTGCTCCCCCCCTCCCGTTTTCCCCCAACTCCCATGTTCTGTTCCCTCCCTTCCTCTCCTCTGCTCTGTCACCCCCCCTCTCTCGTCCCGGCCAGCAATGTTTTTTTTTTAGAATTCTAATAAATTCCCTCAACTCCTGTGTTCCGTTCCCTCCCTTGCTCTCCTATGCTTCGTCACCCCCCCTCTCCCGTCCCGGCCAGCAATGCCCCGTGCTGAGGGCGGCAGCAGAGGCAGGAGGGGTCATGGCTGCTGCTGCCTTTCAGTCGAATCAAGAGCCACAACAGGGAGCGGACGAGCAGCAGGGGGAGGGGATTCAAGCACAGCAGGCAGAGCAGTCACCGGTGCTGCAGGAGCAACAGGAGCAGCAGCAGCAGCAGCAGGATGGGGAGCAGCGGCAGGTGTTTTTGTCGGTGGTGGCAAGTGGGTCTGGCAGCCCATGTGTTGACTTCAGACAAGTCACCTGGGAGCTGGCTGAGGTTTGCCAAGGGGCTGACCTGGTAAGTTTCCAGAGAAGGTTTCTAAAAGGGTTTAGAAGCGTAGTATTCAAAATGGGTCTGGCAGCCCGTGTGTGGACTTCAGACAAGTCACCTGGGAGCTTGCTCACGCCTGCCATGGGGCTGATCTAGTAAGTTTCCAGGGGAGGTTTTCAAAAGGGTTTAGAAGCGTACATGCAATATTTTAGAATTCAAAGTGGGTCTCACAGCCCTTGTGTTGACTTCAGACAAGTCACGGGGAAGCTGGCTCAACCTTGCCAAGGGGCTGATCTGGTAGGTGCAGGAAGCACATTGTTGTGATTGCAAGCACTCTACCAGTTAACTGTGTTGGACAGCGTGGAGCTGCACTTCTCCTCTGCTCCCCTTTTGTGCCTAAAACGCCTGAAAGAACCCGTCATCGGTTTGTCGCCGTGCATCCCGTTCTGTTTCCCCACATCCCATCCTGTTTCCCGTTGCCGGTCAGGTTGTGCTCGAGGGTATGGGGCGCAGTCTGCACACCAACTACGACACACGCTTCACATGTGACTCTCTTAAGGTAATCCCCATCTGCCTTTTGAGCTGAGAATAGAGCAGCTTTTTTCGCAGTCGTTCGAAGATACTTATTGATTTGAGCGATGGTGAACGGTGTTCTGAGTCAGCTCTTTCGTTGCTGCCAAGGTGAGCCATGGGATGGGAGCCCATCATTATTAAGATTGAGCCCAACATTGTTAAGATTGAGCCCGTCATGGTTAAGATTGAGCCCATCATGGTTAAAGATTGAGCCCATCATGGTTAAGATTGAGCCCATCATTGTTAAGATTGAGCCCATTATTGTTAAGATTGAGCCCATCATTGTTAAGATTGAGCCCATCATTGTTCAGATTGAGCCCATCATTGTTAAGATTGAGCCCATCATTGTTAAGATTGAGCCCATCATTGTTAAGATTGAGCCCATCATTGTTACGATTGAGCCCATCATTGTTAAGATTGAGCCCATCATTGTTAAGATTGAGCCCATCATTGTTAAGATTGAGCCCATCATTGCTAAGATTGAGCACATCATTGTTAAGATTGAGCCCATCATTGCTAAGATTGAGCACATCAGTGTTGTTGACACACCACATCTGGCATGCTTATTTGAAAATCCTATCGATTGGTCTGGGTTTTGGCCAAAGAACAATGTTTACACGTCTTAATCGCTACGGGTTAGGGCACTTACGTGTGAATGTGCAACACAGGTAGCTTTTGCCTAGTGTTCATTCAGCTTTGATCGAGCTTCCCCGACCCTCATCCTCTTCCTTCGATTTCTTTTTTCTTCCCCATCTCTAATATGTGTTCCAGTTGGCGATGATAAAGAATGAACGACTTGCAAAGAGGTTGGTGGATGGCAGCATGTATGATTGCGTCTGTAGGTTCCAACCGGGGACCACGGCTCTTAGGGTAGAGGTCAAGAGATAGCTTTGAATGGCAATTAGGCTGAGGGGATGGCATGGATAATTGCCGATGATGGCTGCAATTAAGCAATAGGAAAAAGTTAACGCCCACTGGAGTGCAGGTTTTCCACATGAACGAGCTGATAAACCAGTTTGGAAGAGAGCTATTGCATGTGGGAGTCTAGTATCTATGTTGATGTGAGGTATTCTGAACTACACTGCAATCCCGCGCCTGTTGCGAAGCATGTCAGGTTCAGGCCGCTGCTGCGGATGCAATCTCCACCACTCATTTCTGACACGAAGTCCTTTGTGCGATCCCAGAGCGGATCATCCTCGAATTCAGCAGACTGTGCATATCTTTCCTGTCACCTCACCTGCTCCCTGCCCACTGATCCCCCAATGGCCCACTAGCCTTGCCCTCGCGTCGCGTCTGCCTGGCTTATCTCGTTTGAACCTTTCTTCCGAATCCTCCCAACCGAACCCAACCCTACCCAAGCCCACCTTGTCAGCAGTGCAGCTCAAGCAGTGGGGAGCGTCCGCTGCATGATGAATCTGCTGCTACTGCCAGGCCAGCAGACAGCATGGTTGTGCTGCTGCTACTGCTGGAGCTTCTGTTTGACGCAGGCTGTTCCCTTACGGCGATCTGGAGTCTGGGATTTGAACGCCAGCAGCTTTTGGCGTTCCACTGCTGCAGCGACGAGTGGGTGGCGCGTTGGATGTTATCATGTGCTGCGGCGTGCGTGATCTGTGTTTCTAGATTGACCTCATGGCTTGCCAATGGCGATAACGGAGGACTTTCTAGGCGTATTCCGACCCACCATACAAGAGCTAAGGTTGCCAACAGCAAGCAATAATGCTCACCGATCCACCGTACTGGTCACTGCTGTCTGTTAGCTGCGCTCCCTTATCTGCACACAACCATCAGCTGTCAAGCACCTTGCCTTTTTTTCTCCTGAACCGTCCCCTCCATGACACCCACCAGCCAGGGACAGCAATAAGAGCCAGGGGGAATGCACCCAATCAGCCGCAAGTGGCATGTAGATTACCGCCTTACCCGGCTGGATCACTCGCTCTAGGAAACGCTTTGCGCCGCGCTGCTGCCCGAACGGCACGTTCTGGGCTTCCGTGGTCAGATTCAGTCAACGATTCCGAGATGGCTTTTCGTCCGCTCGTCGTCAGCCCGTTCAGCATAAGGATTCGCGCCATGGCGGCTATCTGCGCTGTCCCTGCTTATTCACGTCGACTCAAAAGTCAACTCGCTGTTGCACATTCATGCATCGCGGTCCGAATCCGGAGAAGAAAACGAGGCGAGGCGATAGGGTGTCACGCTAGCTCACTCCACCCGGGGTGCTGTGGTGCTAGTAGCGGGCCGCTATGGCTTCAACGCACGCCGATGGCTACAGTAGCCCGTTTTCGAGCACGCCGCCACGCACAGTCTCATTGCCAGGCACCTCGGCGCCTTGTTTTCTTCTCGTTTGAGCCGCGACGGTACCACTAGCAGCGGACCAGCTATAAGCACAGGCTCGCGCACGACACAGCTACTATTACTGTCGCTCGCAGGCACGGTCAGGCTCGAATTGCCGCATTCCGACTTCCATCATCCGCGCACCGATCCTCGCCTCGCCAGAGCAATTCTCCCCACCGCACACCCCGCCACAGCACGCATTGCACCATCGATCCCCGCCTCTGGACTTTGGCGAGCGTCCAGCGAGCGACGATCAGCGGCTCTGCTTCTGAGTCGAGTCTAACGGAAAACCAGCTGCAGCCTCCGCTCGCCGATTCGCGTCTCGCCCCCCCGCTGAGATTCGAAGGATCCGAGAGCTTCAGGCGGGCAACGAGCAACGAGCAACGAGCAACGAGCAACGATCATCCGCTCTGACCACGTAATCCGGTAACCACGCCTCCAGCAGCCACGCCTCCAGCAGCCTCGACTCCAGCAGCCACGTCACCAGCAGCCACGTCCAATCTATGGCCGACCCCTCCCCGTCGTCCACACCCAATGGTCGTCGCCGCAACGACCGCAGGCCCACTGGGATCACTGCCGCCAGCGTCCGCGCATGGTGCGCGCGGCGGTACCGCGGAATCCTTCCGCCCGCGGAGGAAATTGCGGGGGGAACTGCCGGGCCCAGCGCTTCCGCCGTCTCCGCGGAGGTCGACACCGAGCGCAGTCCCCGCGCGACTCGCTGCAGTCGCGATTATCACTCGGGGGGAGCGAGAGCGACTAGATCTCCGCGCGCGCCCCTCGTCAACGGAATCGATGCGGGTATTTCGAGTCATCGGCCCGTTGACTCGGGGAGTCAAACCGTAGAGGCGTCTACAATGTCGCCGGCGGTTCTTCCCTCAACCCTCACTCGCCGAGTGACGATCACCGGAGAACCGTTAGCCGCGGGTGGCGCATCTGCGCCGCCAGTGGGTGGTGGTCCCGCAACTCCGCTGGGCGCTGGCGCAATCGCGCCGTCCCCGCGGCTCTCCGTTTGCCCGTCCGACCGGTCGAGCGCGTGGGGGACGCCAGGCGGAAGCAGCACGAGTGAGTATAGCGAGGGGACGGACGAGGAGGACGAGATGTGGGACGACAGCGACTGGATGTCCGCGGACGAAGGGGTGGAGAGCGGCAGAAAGTGGTGGAGATTCGAGGGGTGGGGGACGAAGAACGGCGGGATGAAGAACGGAGAAAACGATGTCCGGACGGCTGACACGTGGCGAGATCCGATAAGTTTTTTTCGAAAGAGAGGGCAAGGAAGCGGAGCGGAGGGCAGGCGCGCAGGCAGCGCGGAGCAGCAGGTGGGGAGAATCGAGGTGGTGATTGGCGGCGGGGTGGATGACAGAAACGAGCGTGCTCTTATCAAAGGCGAAAGGGACGAGAGTTCGCGAAATAAGAAGCACGCAAAACGTGGGATGTACAGCAGAAGGGGCAGAGGAGGGAGAAAGCGAAGTTTGGCGGACGACGACGAAGGGAGGGACCGCGGCCTGCTGTGGAAGCTTCTGAGCAAGTGCAGCGTGGAGAAGTGCCTCGAGCTGAGCCGGTTCAACCGGTGCCTGTGTCTGCTGGCGTGGGGCATTGTGACTATAGCGGTGGCGTTTGGCGTGTTCTGGGCGACCTACCAGGGCTTCCAGGCGGACAGGCAGAGGCAGCTGGAGGTGGAGTGCGACAAGTGGACGGGGCTGCTGGAAACGCACTTCTGGAAAGCCACCAACCAGGTAACTGGGAAAGGGGATTCCCCACTTGTGTTGTGAGAAGGGTTACGGTTGCTAGTCCACTGACTTCGTGTTCGTCTTGCATGCATGCGTATGACCATGTCTAAGACCATGTCTAAGACCATGTCTAAGACCATGTCTAAGACCATGTCTAGACTATGGCTTCTTGACCGATAGCCTCATGCCCTCCATGCCCCATCCCCCCACCCCCCCATGACCCCATGCCACATCCATGCATCACCATGCATCACCATGCATCACCATGCATCACCATGCATGCCATCAGATCCGTGTGCTAAGTACAGTCGTCTCCACCTTCTTCGGAGTTCCCAATGGCACGCTAAACCAGGTAAGGCAGCGGAGTGTGAATCGGGCAAGGGAAGCTTAACCACGCCACACAGTCCAAATCGTGTAAGGCAGTGTAAGGCAGTGTAAGGCTGGCACACATAGTATGCACAGTTCATGCTTGCTCCCACCACCTCCCCCCCATGCGCCCCAGTTTCCCTCACCAGTCGCGCATCCTCCCACCGCCTCCCCTCCCGTGCGCCTCAGAGTACCCTCAACGCCACCAGCACCAGCTACAACCTCCCACCGCTCTTTGCAGTCTCCTGTTTCTCTTCTCTCCCACTCCCACACCCTGCTTCGCCCTCCACTGCCCCTCACACCCACCATCGTCTTCCTCGCCTCTGCCCCCATGCGCCTCAGAGCACGTTCGTCTCGTTCCTCACCGCCACCAGCTACACACGCCCGCTGCTCTTCGCCCTCTCCTTTGCTCTGCGCGTGCCGCTCTCCCAGCGACCGGCCTTCGAGCGCTGGCAGCGGCACCAAGGGAACAGCAGCTACTGCATCAGGTATAGCGAGCATTCCGTTTGGAAAACAAGGCCCTTGCTTTGCGACAGATTGAACGACTCACTGCCTGCCTCATTGCCTTACCCAAACCCCACACCCTGCCAAAACTTTGGCCCCATTTCCTCGCATCCCACCCCTCTCTCCTCCCTTGCCCCCTGCCTCCGCCGCCCGATCACAGGCACGGGCGGCACTGTGCCGCCGGAAGCCAAGCAGAGTACGCACCAATTGTCTTCACCTCGGCCTCCGCCACCGTGATTGGCCAGGACTTGCTGCGCCAGTCGGCCCCCAGTGTTGACCTGCCGTTGACCAGCGTTGACTCAGCTTACCTGCCGGTTGACCAAGAGGCCTTTGAAGAATCCGCTGCTTGGAGTGAGTTTCTCTGCCCAGAGTACAGTAACTATCTCCTTACGCATTATAATACACCAGGCAAACTGAACAACTCTCTTCCTAGTCTTCCTGTTCCCTCTCATCATCTCGCCCCACACTCATTCCTCCCCCCTTCCGCCCGCTCTCTCCCCCCAGTCAACCACCCCGCAGTAGCAGCCGCAGTGGCCGAGGCGAGGGATCTCGGGGTGATTGGGGCGCTCACGCCACCCCTCGGACTCAACCTCTCCCTCCCCAACGGCACGAGGGCCATCTCCCACGGCCTCTTTATAGTCATCCCCGTTTACCGCACCATCGATCCGCTCCCCGAGGGCTTGCCCTCTAGCGAGTACCAGGCGGCGTGCCTCGGCTACATGACAGCTGTCATGGACTTCGCGCCGCTGTGGGAGTCGATGCTGACGGTGAGAACCCACTCACTTCACTATTCTTGTTTCTTTGACAAGTTTCTCTTTGTTTGTCTTTTCGTGGCTGTCCATAGCAGACTGTGTGAGGAGGGGCGGCTTGACTTGAGCTGAACAGAGGCTTGTCTCGTCCCCTTGTTTTGAATGCATGGGAGCCGGCGGTTATGTCCAATTCTGAGGAGACTCAGAACGCCCTTGTCTCTCACATCAGAGGCGGTCATGTAAGCGGGAAGGGGAGACGTGTGGCCTACCAGCGACGCGTGGCCCATCAGCGACGTGTGGCCCATCAGAGACGTGTGGCCCATCGGAGACATGTGGCCCATCAGAGACGTGTGGCCCATCAGAGACATGTGGCCCATCAGAGACGTGTGGCCCATCAGAGACGTGTGGCCCATGCTCATGCAGCAGCGGGCACACGGGACAAAGAGATGGAAACTATACTCTTGTACAAGCTCAGCGGGGCGGGTCATTCCCCCTCTTCCCCCTCAACCCCCCCCCCCGCCCAAAACATCCCCCCCTCCCCCCTGCAGGGGTACGTTGGCTCCCTGCTGATGTTCTCGCACATGTATGGTGTAACGGGCAGCAGAGCGCACAGGGAAGAAAGTAAGGCGATGCTTTCGTACGCGCCCAGTGGGGGGTCATCCATCCCCCCTCCCCTCCTGCCCGCAAAAGCAGCCTCCTCCCTGAACCCCCCCCCCTTGCAGGAGTACTTTGGCTCGCTGCCCATGTTTTCACGCATCTATGACGTCACGGGCAGCAGCGGGCGCAAAGGACAAAGGGACGGGGCGGTCCTCTACGAGCCCAGCGGGCGGCAGCTGCCGTCCGGCCAGGCGGACTCGTACGCACATGTGAACGTGGTGAATCTGGGGGACAAGTACCGCGAATATGAGATGCGATGCAGGTGAGATGGGGTGTAGGTGGGATGCAGTGCGGTGCAATGCGGCAATGGGAGGTACACGCTACGCACATTTGAACGTGGTGAATCTGGGGAACAAGTACCGAGAATACGAGATGCGGTGCAGCTGAGATGGGTATAGGTGAGATGCGGTGCAGGTGAGACGTGGTGCAGGTGAGACGTGAGGCAGGTGAGACGTGGTGCAGGTGAGACGTGCTCTTGTGCATCTCTAAATGGTGGGAACGTGCACCACACATCCCCCACACCACACATCCCCCGCACCACACATCCCCCGCACCACACATCACCCACACCACTTACACATTCCTATCCTCCAAACCATGTGTCCCACTTCCTCATATCTCCCCTTTCCCCCACACCAATCCCTCTGCCCCGCTTCCCCTCCCCCGTGACACACACCAGGTACATCAACCCCTACACCTTCCCTCTCTCCAGTCTAGGCTGGGCCATCCTCGTTATAGCGATAATGGGTCTGGCGGCGAACTTGTACTGGGCGGCGTGCGAGCACGTGCAGCAGCTGGAGCGCGACTACCACCGCATGGAGGCGGTGAAGAACCGGATGAAGGCAGCCAAGCGCGTGGCGGAGAAGGCCAGCAAGGCCAAGGGCACGTTCCTCACCACCATGAGCCACGAGCTCAGGACGCCGCTCAATGGCGTCATAGGTGGGTGGTGGTGGGGGTGGGGGTGGTAGTGGTGGGGAGGGGGGGGGGGTCATTGTGTTGTAGCGGCTACAGAGAAGGCGAAAGGGGCATTCCTCATGACGAGCTCAGGACGCCGCTCCCACATGGGTTGATAGGTGCGTGTATGTGATCTGGCTGGTAGTGGTGTCGCCATTCTCCTCTCCCCCTCCCCACGCCCTTGCCCACCCCCCCACCCGCCCCCCTCTATTGTGGCAGGCATGCTGAATCTGCTCCTGGAGACCCCTCTTTCACCCCAGGAGCATCCCATCCCCAGTCAGACTACTGCAGCTCCCCATGCCTCTAGCGCAGCTGGACTGTGCACAGACAGCGAGGACGAGAGCTCAGCGAGGATGAGGGCTCATCGAGAACGAGGGCTCATGCACAACCCCCTAGCAGAGAAGCATCAAGTCACACTCCCCTTCCCCCCTCCTCCTGTTCCTCTCCCCCCACCTTTCCCCTTCTCTCTTGCCCCAACATCCCCAGGTATGCTGAATCTGCTGCTGGAGACGCCGCTCACCATAACGCAGTTGGACTATGTGGAGACCGCCAGGACGAGCGGGCGGGCGCTGCTGGAGCTGATTAACGACATCCTCGACCTTTCCAAGATAGAGGTGCGGCTTATAAGGAGGATGTAGATTTAGCGCTGTGCTGTGCGGGATACGGGGTATGCATGGGTCTGTGGTTCCGCACAAACGCTGTCGATACTTGCATGCCACTGCGTGCGCTGTGAGCTCACCACCGTGCTCGCCATGTTTGTCGAACGAACACTTTGGAGACAAGCCTGCCTTTTTCTTGAAGCCTTTCACTTTCTTCGTTCCTGCCCTCTCATCCCCTTCCCCCTCCCCCAGCTCCCCCCCCTCCTCCCAGGCGCACAAGATGCAGTTGAAGCACGTCCTCATGGACGTGCGCTGAGAGCGTGCCCATGCACGTTCCCTGCGGCTCCACACCGTGCGGCTCAGCATGTTTCTCCTCCGACCCTCCCCCCGTTTTCCCCGGTTCCTCCGTCCTCACCCGCTGCCCCCAGGCGCACAGGATGCAGCTGGAGCAGGTGCCCATGGACGTGCGCTGTGAGCTGGACACTGTTCTCACCATGTTTGTCGAACGCTTCCGAGTAAAGCCCCTGCTGGAGGTGGCTGTGTACGTCGACCCGCTCGTGCCTGCCTCTGTGCTTGGCGATTCGCTGCGCTTCCGCCAGGTGGGCTGTGGGGCTGTGGGCTGTGGGCTGTGGGCTGTGGGCTTTCCTTGCCATGCGTTGGACGACTGTATTCTCACGTCCAGCCCATTCTGGAAGCCAACAAGCATCACCACCCCCCTCTTCCTCCATTTCACATGACCAGCATCCTTCCTTCATCGCCATCCTCCCCCCCCCCTGCGCCCACCCACCAGGTGCTGATCAACCTGCTGTCGAACGCGTGCAAGTTCACCGAACGTGGACACATCTTCATCGCCATCCGCACCGCTGACCTCCATGAGGACCTCCGCAGAGACGCCGCCCGCCGCCGATCCAAGCGCCGGCTGCAACTTCTGCAGCAACAGGAAGGACAGCAGCAATTACAGCACGGCGGACAGCAGGAGAAAGCGGGGGAGGAGACGGGGCCTCATGTGCGGAATCAAGAGAGGCAGCAAGAGCTGGTGCTGGTGGCATTCCTCTCAGACGCACCAGAAGCCGCACGGAAAATCACCAGCCCGACTTCTTTGCATGCCTTGCAGCAGGCTGAGTGCCCCAGATGGCGGCCGTTGGACCTTTTCCAGTTCCTTGGGCCGCGAACAGGGCAGGGTGGGCAGGATTTTCGACGGGGGGGGAGGATGAGCAGTGCGCGGGTGTTCAACTCGTGTGCATGCCTTCTTGGACCTAGAGAACCTTGCAAAGGTGATGGGGATGATGATGCTGATGGTGATGGTGATGGTGGTGCTGGGGGTGGTGATGCTGGTGGTGGTGATGGTGTTGCTGCTGCTGGGGTTGGTGGTGATGGTGGTGATTGTTGTGGGGAGGAGGCGGAAGGGAGGGCGAGGATGGCTAATCCGTGCTTCCCTGTATGCACCACTACGACTGCTACAACGGCACCATTTCGCCCTGAAAGACTTCTCTCCCGCTGTAAACCCGTGCATGCACCCCATTTGGTCCCGCCCCCTCCTCCTCCCACGTCTCCCCTTCCTGCTGATTCTCCTCAGCCTCCTCTTGCTCCTCCTCCCCCTCCTCCTCCTCTCTCTGCTACTGGTGCTGGTGCTGGTGCCGGTGCTGGTGCTGGTGCTGGTGCTGGTGCTGGTGCTGGTGCTGGTGCTGGTGCTGGTGCTGGTGCTATTGGTGGTGCTGAATCTGCCACCGCTTTTGTTGGCACCAGTAATGGTCAGCAGCAGCAGCAGCAGCAGCAGCAGCAGATGACACTGAGCGGGCTGCCAGCAGTGAGCAGCTGCAACAGCTGGCACGTGCTGGCGGCCAGGAGGGTTGCTTGGATGAGGCAGGGGCGACAGCAGGGGCGAGAGCACAGGGCGGAGGTGGAGAGAACGGGAGGCAAGGAGGGGGATGAGGAGGTGCGCTCTTGTCAACTGCAGGCGAGCAGCCAAGCAGCACTGGGAGTACCACCAGCAGCACCAGAGGCACCACCAGCGGCGCTGGCGGTGACAGCAAGTGCAGCAGCTTCTGCAGAATCATCAGGCGAAGCACCCAAGACTGTTCGACTTGTCGTCTCAGTTGAGGTCCGTAGCCTGTTGCTGCTAATACCCGGTTGCATACTCCATTGGTACCAATAATCCATTCTGAAAGACACCAATCATGCAGGCGGATGCCCGCATGCCAACAGGCACGATCGGTAGCACAGACCTCGGTGTGTTCATGTCCCCTTATCTCACTCCTCCCTTCCCCTTATCTCACTCCTCCCTTCGCCGTATCTTACTCCTCACTTCCCCTTATCTCACTCCTCCCTTGCCCTTATCTCACTCCTCCCTTCCCCTTATCTCACTCCTCCCTTCCCCTTATCTCACTCCTTCCCTTCCCCTCTCCACCAACAGGACACGGGGGACGGCATCCCCTACCCCGCCCAGCGCACCATCCTGAAGCCCTTCATGCAGGCGGACGCCAGCACGACGCGCACGCACGGCGGCACGGGCATCGGCCTCTCCATTTCGCGCCACCTCGTCGACCTCATGGGCGGCCGCCTCTCCTTTGCCTCACGCCCGGGCCTGGGAACCACCTTCTTCTTCGACCTCCTGCTGCCCTGCGACCACCCTGACCCGCAGCCGGTGCCTCTCGTGCAGCCGATGCTGGAGCACCATTCTGTTTCTGCAAAGGTTTCCGAAGGTGGAGGTGGTGCCGTGGTTGGGGGGGAAGGTGGTGTCTCTGGTGTGAGTGGGGCGCTGACCGGTGGTGGGCCGCTCTTCCCTCCGTTTGTGCATGGGGAGGGGGACTTGGCAGCGAGCCTAAACGAGCTCAAGGACGCTCTGGCTCGGGCGAGGCTTGGGGCGGTTCTGCTGGACGACCGGCCGGTGAGGCTCGGGGTGTTGGAGAGCCTGCTGAACAGGCTTGGTGTGCCGGTCCTCAACTCTGCGTTCCGAACCGACTGGTCCGGGAAGGCTGACCAGGTGCAGGGGGCTTCAGTGGTGGAAGAAGGGGCAGGAGTGGTGGAAAGGGCAAGAGTGGTGGAAGGGTCGTCCTTTTCGAATCCTGTGGTGGTGTTTGTGGATGAAGAGTGGCTTCACAGACAGCAGCAGCAGCAGAGGCAGGAGGGGGGGCAGCACTGGCAACAGCAGCAGCAGCAGAGGCTGAGTGTGGTTCAGGGGGACGAGGACGGGGAGACACATGTGCGTGGCGAGATGGGCTGTGCTCCTGCGCCGTTGCTGTGGCAGGCAAAGGCATGGGAGGCAGTGGCAGCTGCGGGGTTGGGGGTGGCAGGAGTGGGGGCAGCAGGAGAAGCAGCAGGGGAAGTAGCAGGGAGGAGCAAAAGATACTCCCTCGACTCGTGGCTGTTGGGCAGACTCGATGCCTCTCTCCCTGCTGCTGCCACCCCTGCTGCTTCTCCAGGCGATAGTGCTGCTGGCAACTCCCATTATAACATCAACAGCTACAGTGGCGGCGCTCCTCCCTGGGCGGCAGCAGTGCTGCTGTCGGGCCGGCACGACTCGGCCTGTTGTGCGGAGGCCAGGGCGCTGGGCTTCCAGGCGTGCCTGTCCAAGCCCCTGCGCATGGGCGCCCTTGCCAGCTGCCTGGGGGAGGTTCTCGGGGGGGGAAGGGCGGAGGGGGAGGATGAGGGGGAGGATGAGGGGGATGGGGAGTCGGAAGGGAAGGGGGAGGGGTACGGGTGGGGGGAGGAAGAGGAAGGGGGAGAAGGGGAGGGGGAAGACGAAGGAGTTGCAGGGAGCGAAAAAGAGGGTAGTGGGGTGTGGAGAGAGGGGAGTGGGGTGGAGGCAGGCAGGGGGAAAAGTGTCTGCTGGGAGCGGCTGAGTGCGAGTGACTCAGGTGGGTCGGAGCACAGGCAGTGCGTTCCTGTGAACTCTCCTGCGAATTCCTCTGAGCATTCCCCTGGAAATTCTCCTGGAAGGGAGAGACGCCCCCAGCAGCAGGCTTCAGCATGGCAAGGAGGATTGGGGGTGGGGGTAGGAAACGAGGGCGGTTTCGTGGGGACAGCGGGAGAGGGTGAAGGAAAGGAGAAGGAGAAGCAGGAGCTTCCTCGCCCCCTTCCTCCTCTTATCCCTCCCTGCTCCTTCGAACTCTCTCTAGAATCGCCCTCTCTAGTATCACCCGCTCGAGCATCACCCTCCGTAAAATCACTCTCCCTTGCATCACCCTCCCTGGGATCACCCGCTCCACTGTCTCCTTCCCTAGCGTTGCCCCCGTTTGTACCACCCTCTCTAGAGTCATCCTGCTTAGTGTCACAATCGGCCCCACTGACGTCTCCTGGCTTTTCTTCTGCCCAAGGCCCCATCCGGTCACCAAAACCAGCAGCAGTGGCAGCAGGGAGGGCAGAGGGAGGAAGAGGGAGAAGAAGAGGCGCCCGAGAAAACGCTCCCTTTCCCTCCCACCCCTCCTACCCTCCTCGGGGCTCTGCGCTCCCTACCAAACCTTGCCGCCCAAAGGGGCACATGCGGGCGGCAAGTTGGGCGGGCTCTCTGAACGAGCTGGGCGGCGCTCAGGGGAATCTCAGCCTGCACGTTGGGGAATGGGGGGGGAGCCCTGCATCCGTGGGGGAAGGCTATGCGCCTATGGGGGGAAGCCCTGCGGCCATGGGGGGAAGCAGGAGGGGTGGGGGGACGGGGGGGGCAGGGGGGAGCAGCATCAGCCTCAGTTCTAGCAGTGTGGCAATGCGAAGGATGAGTGTCAGCAGCAGCAGCCGGCTGCAGCAGCTTACCCAGGCTTTAAGTGGGAGGGCTGTGCTGGTGGTGGACGACAACATGGTGAACCGCAAGGTGATCTGCCGCATGCTGCAGCGCTACGGGGTGGCGGTGGAGGAGGTGGATGGCGGCGCCAAGGCCGTGCGGAGGGTCAGGGACATGATCGACGGGGCTGCTCCACAACTTGACTGCGTCTTGATGGACATTCAGGTGTGTGCTACCTGAGAATTTTACGAAATCTCTCACTTTGACGTGGTGTGTGCTTCATGCAGGCAGCCTTGTTTCAGGTGCGTGCTTGATGTAGGGTGTGCCTGTCAGCTGTTTGGTAGACTCAAAGGCGCGCTCTCTCATTCCCCCAGCCCCTTCCCTTCCTACCCGTCCTCGTGTCCTTGTGTCCTTGTGTCCCTTCCCCTCGCGAGCAGATGCCGGAGATGGACGGGTTCGAGGCCGCCTTGCGCATTCGAAGCATGGAGCAGGAAACGATGCCACCGAATGCAGCAGAGAAGGGTCTCTCAAGAAGCCCCTCCCGGAGCCAACTAGCAGCAGCAGACAAGACTCTATCCAGGAGCCCCTCCTGCAGCACACCAGCAGCAGAAAGAAGGCTTTCCCGAAGCCCCTCCCGCAGCCCATCAGCAGCAGAGCAGCACCTCCTCAAGAGCCCACGGAGCCCCTCATTCTCCCAACCCACAGCAGAAAATGCACCAAGGAGCCCCTCAGGCCCCCCACCTGACAATGCACCTGAGGCATCACCATGGGGTGTAGCAGGTGCATCACCAGGGGAGGCTGAGGGGATAAGTGCGGAGGGTGTAGGCAAGAGGCGGCTGTTGGTGATCGCTCTGACGGCGGATGTGGGAGCGGGCACGAGGGAGAGGTGTGTGAAGGCGGGGATGGATGGGTACATGACTAAACCCATTGAGGAGCACCAGCTGTCCCACGTGGTGCTGCCCTTCTTTGCTGCGCACGCTGGTGACTTAGGCAGCAGTTGGATGTGATGCGTTCAATGTGGTACATCCTGTGATTGTGAGGTGACTGTTTCTTCACAGTGGTACATAATCTATAGGTCTCGAATCCAGTATACCGGTAGTTGGGGACACATTCTATGTGCATCCAACCTAGAGTAATGGAAACAAAGTACTGGCTCAACCCCATCGCCCCAATTTGCCAACATTATTGTAAGGAAATTCCCTTTTCCTTACTGGTCTCGACTAAAGCGCGTGCGCCCTCGACTCTTGGAAGGAAGTCCAGGCTCGGCCAACTTCTTCGGTCCCAAACCATTTCGCGAGCCCAAACCTAGACGCGCAGCGCTTCCGTGGCTTTCGCCAACCGGACGGCCCCAACCTGTTCACGTGGTTCTCGGCTAGCTCTGTTCGTGCCTATAAATGCCTAGGCCCTCATTTGTATCGACACTCTTGAATGACGACTCCTTTATTACACTGCCTGTTATTACTCTGATTAATTCATAACAACTAGTATCAGAGCCCTGTTCCTGCCCGCTTAGTCTTCTGTAGAGTAGTCTGTTTATATCGGGAGAGGACCCGACAGAATAGGGGGTTGGCCTGCGGTTGGTAGGTGAGCTCGTTAAAGCCCGCCCAACAGGTTGCATATTTGTACTGTTTAGGTGGGTGGAACGGCATAACCTGATTGGATAACGAAGGATTCTTCAAACGAATTAGTTGGCGAATACTTGGCTTCGCAGAGCCAGCGTTTGTTTCGTGCAAGCTAGCGCAGCTGGAAACTTGGCAGTGCTGCCAGTTTTGTAGCTCACAATCTGGCAGAGAGCCACCTCGCCAGCTCTGCCAAGTTTGCAGGGCGAGAACTCGTGACTGTTTTGATCACAACCAACACTTTGACTTGACCGGTTTCGGAAAAACAAACCGGATGTTGTTTGACGCATATACAGTTCGGTACACTGCGACCCAAAAAATACGAATCACCTTTTCGTTTCGCGATTCCCGCCCACACTGCGAAGTACATATTCAGGTTTCTACCCCCCACCCAACCCGTCCCTTTTTTTTCCCTCGAAGAACTTGGCAGGTTTGCACTGCCAAGTTCCGAGAGGCCCTTAGCCCTGCCTGGTTGGAATCCTTAGCGAGCATTTGGCAGTTCGATGCCAGCTGCTCGGTTACGAGGGCCTCAAGATGCAGCATCTTGAGAAAAGATGGCATGCAATCTGCCGGTCAGGCTTTAAAGCTCATCCAACCAAAAGCGTATGCACCCTCAGATCTGTCAGGTAAAATTTCCAGCATGACCACACCGGAAACCTCTGCCCGTCGTAGTGTTAGGAACGTGACTCAGGAGGAGTTTGACAAGTTGCAAGCTAGGGCGGCTACAGTAAGGACACTGCAGGCCTAGCTTCAACAACTCGCCGATAAGTTCGAGACGCTGGGGAGCAAGGTGCAGACGCTACGCACCGAAAACTGGTCACTTCGCTAGACGCGGGGTGAAACGTGTCAGGGGCGGCCTGTTCACCGAGACGAAAATTGCGACGATACAAGTCTCCGTGAACTTCGGAGTTTTCAGGGGTTTGTGAATTACGTCCGCCGTTTCATTCCGAACATGGCAGGGGTAACTTCCCCTCTCACGGATCTCCTGAAGAAGGGCAAGTTTTATGAGTGGGGGGGAGAGCAGTAGGCTGCGTTCGAACAGCTCAAACTTTTCCTGACTACACCTCCGGTTCTTCGGATTGCAGATCCTCACCGTCCGTTCAAGCTCATCACCGACGCTAGCGAGCTGACCGTTGGCGCAGTACTGTTACAAGACTTCGGCGAAGGCCTCCAACCCATCGCCTACAAGTCACGAAAGCTGAACCCGATCGAACGACATTATCCTGTCCACGACAAAGAGTTACTCGCCATCGTTCACGCTTTCAAAGTCTGGCGCTGCTACGTGATGGGCGCTGATGTGACGCCCGAACAGACCACAAGTCGCTACAGTTCATCCGTGCCCAACCAACACTGAATCCCCGACAGATTGGCTGGCTTGACTACCTTGAGTCCAACTTCCACTACAGAGTCACGTACAAATAGGGGGTTAGCAACATCGCTGACGCATTGACCCGCCCTTCAGTCCACACCATCACCGTCCTAATTACCCAAGCTAATCCGCTGCTAACTAGCCTATTCACCCACGGGTACAGTACTGACCCATTCTTCACCACTATCACTCATCCCCGACTGACGGACAAGCAAGGGGCCTATTATCAAAAATCCGGTACCAATCTGATTTGGGTTCTCGCCTACCGTACCCTACGGGAATTACTAATCCAGAAGGCACATGACTCGAATTTCTCGGGCCACTACGGCGTCGACAAAACCGCCAAATGACTGAGCCGTAATTATTACTGGCCCGATTTGCCGATAGACGTGCAGCTGTACGTCACCTCATGTGCCACGTGTCAGCGCATGAAGTCTTCCCGGCTTCGACCTGCTGTATTGCTGCAGCCACTCGAGCCACCCAGCTGACCCTGGCAACAAGTGACGATGGATTTCGTCACTGGCCTGCTAGCTGATCCAAGTGGTAACGACGCGATTCTTGTCGTTGTTGACCGGTTGACCAAGATGGCCCATTTCGCCGCCTGCAAGACGACGATTACTGCCGAGCAAACAGCAAAACTCTTCCTCACGAACATCGTGCGGCTACACGGCATCCCGTCGCCAATCATCAGCGATCATGACCCACGATTCACGTCAAACTTCTAGACAAAAACCTGACTGCAATACGGCACACGTCTGCTTCTGACCACGGCGTACCACCCGCAATCGGACGGCGTGACTTAGCGCACCAATCAGACGATGGAGCCGCTGATTCGCACGACGTGCACAGACCCGGCCCAATGGGAAGACGCCCTTCCCTTGATCGAGTTTGCGTACAACAACGCCCCATCGGCCACAACTACTCAGTCCCCGTTCTTCCTTAATTATGAAATAGACCCGACAACCCCTCTATCACCACCGATAGACAACCCGGCACCAAGATCTCAGCAGTTCGTCGAAAACCTCCGTCGGTCTCAGCAAAAAGCCGCCGACGTCATCATTAAAGCCAACCAGAGGGCTAAGCAGCAAACTGACCAACGACGCCGAGATTTAACGCTTGCCCTAGGGCAATTGGTCCTGCTCGACACCCGAAATTTGGGAATTCCCCTCCCAAATAAACTACAGCCAATATTTTGTGACCCATTCCGCATCATTCGCATGGTGACACCAGTCACCGCCCAGCTGCAACTGCTGATCGACTAGATAATCCATGATTCGTTTCACGTCAGCCTCCTGCGACCGTTCGTTCCGAGTACGACTAATATCGACCGTCAACACATCAATACTACGGTCAACCCAGTGTTAAATTATATATTGAGTTATATAATGTGTAGGCTTGGTAGATTAGATATTACTGAGTGTTACTGTAGGGGGTACAACACCCCCTCTCTTCTTTCCTAATTCTCTTTTCTCTCACCAACTTTCCTAGCCTAAAACCTCTCGCCATATCCATGGCTCCTCCTCCTACCTAGATCATAGCTTCAAGACATGGTAACAGAGCCGGTTCCCTTCCCGGGCCTGCTCCCCTCGCTTCCGCCGCGCACTCCCTCCCCGTCATGCCGCGCTGGCCCCGTCAATCCGCGCTGGCCCCGTCGCGTCGCACGGGCCACGCGTCTGCTGCGTTTTTCGTCCCCTGTTCGCCGCCGTCGCGGCCTTCCCACTGCCTGCCGCCGTGGCACCTTGTGCCGCGGCAGCCCTTGTGCGCTGTCGTCCCAGCGTCGACGACCAGCCGCGGCGACGACACCACGCTGTGGTGGCGTCGTCGTGATGCCGTGGCTGTGTCGTCGGCCTGGTGCCGTCGCGCACCACCTGCGTCGCTGCTGGATTTGCAGCCCGCCCGCGTGCCAATAAGCGCTGCGCCAGCAATGGCGCCGCGCTGAAGATCCGAAGCCCCGCCCCTTCCCCCTTCCCTCCGTCCCCTCCTCTTCGCCACAGCCGTCGCCTGACTCTCGCCGGTTGTCCCCCTGCCGCGGAGTATGGACACGCCGCCGGAAGGGCGGGGGCCGCTGCCGTTACCGCCATCGTAAGCCGAAGCCGTCGCCGTCGCTGCTGTCATCGCCACAGGCCTTTTGCCGCCGCGCGCCCGTCGTCGCCGTCGCTGTCGCTGCTGCCGGGACGGCCGCCGTCGCCATCTCCAGGGCCTTGGGGTTGGCCCTGCTAGAGTAGTCGTGGCTGATGGGAATGGGGGTGCTAGGTTAGGGGGTGTGGGGGTGTGTGGGTCCTTACTACCAAGCCTAGGGGGTGTGTTAAATTATATATTGAGTTATATAATGTATAGGCTTGGTAGATTAGATGTTACTGAACATTATTGTAGGGGGTACAACACCCCTCCTTGTATCCCCCTCTTCTTTCCTAATTCTTTTCTCTCACCAACTTTCCTAGCCTAAAACCTCTCGCCATATCCATGGCTCCTCCTCCTACCTAGATCCTAGCTTCAAGACACCCAGTACCCGAGCCAACGATCGAGCCGTCCAAGATTCTCGCTCATCGCGTACGAGGCCATCGAGATACAGCAACCGTTGATTTCCTTGTACGATGGGTCGATCGCACGACTTACGACGATCTTTGGGTCCCCGCAGCTATGCTCGGCGAACACAAAGTCATCTGTGACTACTTACATCAACGATGTGTCCCAGATGTGGGTAGTCTCATCCGGAAGGGGGGGTAGTATAAGGAATTTCCATTTTCCTTACTGGGCTCGACTACATCGCGTACGCCCTCAACTCTCGGAAGTCCAGGCTCGGCCAACTTCTTCGGTCTCAAACCATTTCGCGAACCCAAACCCAGACGCGCAGCACTTCCGTGGCTTTCGCCAAACGGACCGCCCCAACCTGTTCGCATGGTTCTCGGCTAGCTCTGTTCGTGCCTATAAATGCCTAGGCCCTAATTTGTATCGACACTCTTGAATCACGAATCCTTTATTACACTACCTGTTATTACTCTGATTAATTCATAACAATTATGCGCCATTGTTACAATAGTAAACATTTTATGTCATTACAGAAATTACATATATGTATAGAACACCTTGCTCCCCTTTGGTGAGAAAAATATTGGAATATTAGTGCTTATGTGCTCAGTGGCAAAGCACGGTTCCTGACAACTCCCCAGAAACTGTTGGCGACGGCACGAAGGAGCCAGAAGCTCAGCACATCCCCCGGAACCCTGCCTCATGAAATTTCTCCAGCCGCGCGCAAGCAGTTCCGCCATCCGGTTCCCCCTGCTCCGCCGCCCACCATCTCCCAAATCCCCCCCAACGCCCCCCCCCTCTCCATCCCCCAATGCGTTCCCCGTTGACCCCTATCCAGTCACTGCCATAGCAGTCAGTGCGTCCTTACCTCCTTAGGCTGCTCCGAGTGCCTGACACGGACCGCGCGGTGGGTTTGGACGTCAGAGGAGTCTCCTATGGTAGCACGGTTCGACTAATTCCTTCAGCCTCGATTGTTCTGTAACTATTGGATCGGAATCTAAAAAGAGCTGTGCTTTTACCACGGTCCAGCATGGGTCGCGAGGTCGAGTCGAGCGAGGTGGAGGTAGAGCCTTTACCCACGCCTCCTAAGTTCGATCTGAACATCGATTGGTCGCAAGTTAATCTCGAGGCGCTTCAGTTGCCGGAGGGCGAAGATTTTGACATCAAGAGGTGTGTTGGAGATAGAGATAACGGTGCCAAATCTGGTACTTCGTGTGGGCCCATGGCCCATGACGCGTGGTCCATGGCCCTCGTGGACAGAAGACTCGAGAATGGATTCAAGCCCATGGCCTATTACGCATTCCTGATGTTTCTTAAAGCTGCCGAGTTTCGCCTGCAAGCAGCCTCGAGGGGGGCATTGGCGCAGGGCGTAGGGCTGTTTTAGGGTTTCCGATCCAGCGCGGATCGACACAAGTCTGCCTTATTCCCACCAGTTCAGTTCATGGGCTTTGATTGTCTCGCGGTGAAGCCGATCGGCGGCTACAAGATTGAGGCTGCGCGGTGGCTGTTGAGTCCACTCAGGAGTCATCGCTGCCAGGCTGATCGGCGCGCTATCGGTCCACGTCCTAGCCGAAATCATAGACGCCATCGCGGCTTCCACGCTACCGCAAGGCCTGCATCACGCAATTCTAGTCACACATATATATTTCCGCAATTCTAGTCACACATATATATTTCCGTCACCCTTCTTGTAGTCACAATTGTAGTTACCTTGTCTCTGCTCTCCCTGCCACGAGGAGGGGGAGCTGGAGGTGGTCGAATGTGCCACGGGCTTCGGTAACGGTAATGCTAGTATTGAGATTTGAGGGCAACGCGTCTTCCTTCCGCTGCGTGCAGCGATGACGAGGAGGAGGAGCTGGAGATGGTCGAGTCGGAGGCGGGCTTCGGTGGCGCAATGACGATTTCGAGTGTGTAAATGGTACCGTCGGTTCCCATGGCTCTTGTCCCTCTTTCCTGCTCTCGTCCCTCCGTCCTGCTCCCAGCGACGACGAGGAAGAGGAGCTGGAGGTGGTCGAATCGGAGACGGGCTTCGGCAACGTTATCGTCGTCGACAACCTGCCCGTCGTTCCGCCCGAAAAGTTCGAGAAGCTGCAGACCGTGGCGAAGAAGATTTTCGGGCAGATCGGGCTGATCCGGGAGGGGGGGCTGTGGATGCCCGTCAATAAGGAGACTCAGAAGACAAATGGATATGCTTTTATCGAGTATGCCACTCCCCAGGTACGTTTGCAGTGCCTTCTTTCCGCATCTTTTTTCTCCCCTTCTTTCCCTCCCCCTCGTTCCCCCTCCCCCCCCCCCCCCCCCCCCCCCTCTCTCTCCCCCCTGCCCCCCGTTCCCCACGCGTCTTCCTTCTCCCCACCGCACCACGATCCACTCCTTGGCGTTTCCGTCTGCTCCCCGCGTCCGTCTCATCCCTATCTCGTTCTTCCGTCGCTTGTTCTGTGCTCTCGGTCGTGCACGAGGCGCATGCGGCGCGCAATCAGATGCTCGCCTGCAGGCTCTTCCTCCTCCCGTCTCTGACCTCACTCGCCCATCCTAACTTGTTTTCTCGATCCTGCCTCCCCGCTCCCCCGCTCCCCCCTCCTCCCCCTTTCCTCGCTCCCCCTTGTCCCCGCTCCGCGCTGCAGGAGGCGCAGGCGGCGCGGGAGCAGATGGACGGGTACAAGCTGGACAAGTCGCACGTGTTCAAGGTGTCCATGTTCGACGACTTCGAGAAGTACGCGCGCGTGCCCGACGAGTACGCGCCGCCGCCCGTCAAGGAGTACACGCCGTCGGTGAGTAGTTAAGGAGTACATGCCATCGGTAAGTAGTCGAGTTGTGCCGCTCGCTCCTCGGTTTCTACTCCCTGCCCTTCTTGAGCTGCCCCTCCCCTCCCCTCCCCTCCCCTCCCCACTCTCTCTCCAGAGCCGTTCTCCTTCACGGCCCACGCCTGCTGCCGTATCCCGCACTCCTGCCCACCCCCCTCCCCGCCTCCCCTGCCTTTCTTCGCTCTTCGACCCCCCCTTCCCCCCGCCCATCCGCCCCCCCCGCTCTCCTCCCTCTCCCCCGTGCAGGAGAACCTGCAATGGTTCGCGGGCGACGAGCGCGGGCGCGACCAGTTCGTGATCCGCTTCGCGTCGGAGACCGAGGTCTACTGGAACGACGCGCGCGCCGCCAAGCCCGACCCCGTGTACCGCCGCACGGTAAAGGGGGGAGTGGGGGGGAGGATTGCGCAGAGAGGTGATAGGATGTGTAGGGGGAGGGGGGCCGTGGGAGCTGGCACCACGACCTGGTGTACCGCCGCACGGTAGAGGCGCGGGGAGAGTGCATGGGGGGAAGTCGGTGGTGCGGGGGGATGAGGGCGGTGGAAGCTGGAACGGCGTGGGCTCCGACGCCGTGTACCGTCGCACGGTGAGGAGTGGGAAAGGCGTGTGAGAGCTAGCGCGTCAGGTGGTTTTTTGCACTTAGGTGGAGAGCTGTGTGCCTGTACCACTTCTCAGCTGCCTGGCACCTGCAACATCTCCCCTTGTCAACCTGTCCCCTCCCCCCCACCCCCACCCCCCCCAAATCCCCCTGTCCCCCTCCCCCATCCCCCCTCTCTCCTTCCCTCGTTGTCTGTTCTCTCTGCGTGTGGCTCTGCACGGAGAGCTTCGTGCAGTGGTCGCCGGTGGCCAGCTGCCTCGCCACCATCCATCGCCAGGGAGCGGCCGTCTTTCCTCCCCGTCTGACTTCGGACTCCCCTCTATGTCATCTGTGCTTCCCCCTCCCCCCTTTCCCCGCTGTCTGTTCTGCACAGTTCTGGACAGAGAGCTTCGTGCAGTGGTCGCCGCTCGGCAGCTACCTCGCCACCATCCATCGCCAGGGAGCCGCCATCTGGGCCGGCCCCTCGTGGCAACGAATTATGCGATTCGCCCACCCCCAGGTAACCCTACCCGCACCCATGTTACACCCCCTCGTGTAATTGCCCCCCCAGGTAACCCTCTCGCATGTGATGTGACCCACCCCCATGTAACTCTCTGCTTTCCGCGCTTCGTTTCCTCCTTCCCGCTCGCTTCCTCTCACCCTTCCCCGGCTCGCTCCCTTCTTTCCTCTCCCCTCCTTCCCCTCCCCTCTTCTTTCGTCTCGCGCTCTGTCCCGTGTCACCTCTTCCCTCCCTTCGCCCTTTCCTCGCTTCTTGCGTCTCTTTCCCCTCCGCCCCCCCCGTTACCCACTCCCTGAACTTCTGCCTCACCCGCACCTCCGTTTCCACGTGTCCCCTCGTTATAATCACGCCCACCAGGTTCGGCTGATCGACTTCTCCCCCGGGGAGCGATTTCTGGTGACCTACAGCAGCCACGAGCCCGCTAACCCGAGGGACACTCAGGTGAGGTGAGGGGGTGACTCAGAGCAGTGTGCTGCTGCACCCGTCAACGCGGTTCCTGGTGCCCTACAGCAGCCACGAGCCCGCTAACCCGAGGGACACTCAGGTGAGGTGAGGGGGTGACTCAGAGCAGTGTGCTGCTGCACCCGTCAACGCGGTTCCTGGTGCCCTACAGCAGCCACGAGCCCGCTAACCCGAGGGACACTCAGGTGAGGTGAGGGGGTGACTCAGAGCAGTGTGCTGCTGCACCCGTCAACGCGGTTCCTGGTGCCCTACAGCAGCCACGAGCCCGCTAACCCGAGGGACACTCAGGTGAGGTGAGGGGGTGACTCAGAGCAGTGTGCTGCTGCACCCGTCAACGCGGTTCCTGGTGCCCTACAGCAGCCACGAGCCCGCTAACCCGAGGGACACTCAGGTGAGGTGAGGGGGTGACTCAGAGCAGTGTGCTGCTGCACCCGTCAACGCGGTTCCTGGTGCCCTACAGCAGCCACGAGCCCGCTAACCCGAGGGACACTCAGGTGAGGTGAGGGGGTGACTCAGAGCAGTGTGCTGCTGCACCCGTCAACGCGGTTCCTGGTGCCCTACAGCAGCCACGAGCCCGCTAACCCGAGGGACACTCAGGTGAGGTGAGGGGGTGACTCAGAGCAGTGTGCTGCTGCACCCGTCAACGCGGTTCCTGGTGCCCTACAGCAGCCACGAGCCCGCTAACCCGAGGGACACTCAGGTGAGGTGAGGGGGTGACTCAGAGCAGTGTGCTGCTGCACCCGTCAACGCGGTTCCTGGTGCCCTACAGCAGCCACGAGCCCGCTAACCCGAGGGACACTCAGGTGAGGTGAGGGGGTGACTCAGAGCAGTGTGCTGCTGCACCCGTCAACGCGGTTCCTGGTGCCCTACAGCAGCCACGAGCCCGCTAACCCGAGGGACACTCAGGTGAGGTGAGGGGGTGACTCAGAGCAGTGTGCTGCTGCACCCGTCAACGCGGTTCCTGGTGCCCTACAGCAGCCACGAGCCCGCTAACCCGAGGGACACTCAGGTGAGGTGAGGGGGTGACTCAGAGCAGTGTGCTGCTGCACCCGTCAACGCGGTTCCTGGTGCCCTACAGCAGCCACGAGCCCGCTAACCCGAGGGACACTCAGGTGAGGTGAGGGGGTGACTCAGAGCAGTGTGCTGCTGCACCCGTCAACGCGGTTCCTGGTGCCCTACAGCAGCCACGAGCCCGCTAACCCGAGGGACACTCAGGTGAGGTGAGGGGGTGACTCAGAGCAGTGTGCTGCTGCACCCGTCAACGCGGTTCCTGGTGCCCTACAGCAGCCACGAGCCCGCTAACCCGAGGGACACTCAGGTGAGGTGAGGGGGTGACTCAGAGCAGTGTGCTGCTGCACCCGTCAACGCGGTTCCTGGTGCCCTACAGCAGCCACGAGCCCGCTAACCCGAGGGACACTCAGGTGAGGTGAGGGGGTGACTCAGAGCAGTGTGCTGCTGCACCCGTCAACGCGGTTCCTGGTGCCCTACAGCAGCCACGAGCCCGCTAACCCGAGGGACACTCAGGTGAGGTGAGGGGGTGACTCAGAGCAGTGTGCTGCTGCACCCGTCAACGCGGTTCCTGGTGCCCTACAGCAGCCACGAGCCCGCTAACCCGAGGGACACTCAGGTGAGGTGAGGGGGTGACTCAGAGCAGTGTGCTGCTGCACCCGTCAACGCGGTTCCTGGTGCCCTACAGCAGCCACGAGCCCGCTAACCCGAGGGACACTCAGGTGAGGTGAGGGGGTGACTCAGAGCAGTGTGCTGCTGCACCCGTCAACGCGGTTCCTGGTGCCCTACAGCAGCCACGAGCCCGCTAACCCGAGGGACACTCAGGTGAGGTGAGGGGGTGACTCAGAGCAGTGTGCTGCTGCACCCGTCAACGCGGTTCCTGGTGCCCTACAGCAGCCACGAGCCCGCTAACCCGAGGGACACTCAGGTGAGGTGAGGGGGTGACTCAGAGCAGTGTGCTGCTGCACCCGTCAACGCGGTTCCTGGTGCCCTACAGCAGCCACGAGCCCGCTAACCCGAGGGACACTCAGGTGAGGTGAGGGGGTGACTCAGAGCAGTGTGCTGCTGCACCCGTCAACGCGGTTCCTGGTGCCCTACAGCAGCCACGAGCCCGCTAACCCGAGGGACACTCAGGTGAGGTGAGGGGGTGACTCAGAGCAGTGTGCTGCTGCACCCGTCAACGCGGTTCCTGGTGCCCTACAGCAGCCACGAGCCCGCTAACCCGAGGGACACTCAGGTGAGGTGAGGGGGTGACTCAGAGCAGTGTGCTGCTGCACCCGTCAACGCGGTTCCTGGTGCCCTACAGCAGCCACGAGCCCGCTAACCCGAGGGACACTCAGGTGAGGTGAGGGGGTGACTCAGAGCAGTGTGCTGCTGCACCCGTCAACGCGGTTCCTGGTGCCCTACAGCAGCCACGAGCCCGCTAACCCGAGGGACACTCAGGTGAGGTGAGGGGGTGACTCAGAGCAGTGTGCTGCTGCACCCGTCAACGCGGTTCCTGGTGCCCTACAGCAGCCACGAGCCCGCTAACCCGAGGGACACTCAGGTGAGGTGAGGGGGTGACTCAGAGCAGTGTGCTGCTGCACCCGTCAACGCGGTTCCTGGTGCCCTACAGCAGCCACGAGCCCGCTAACCCGAGGGACACTCAGGTGAGGTGAGGGGGTGACTCAGAGCAGTGTGCTGCTGCACCCGTCAACGCGGTTCCTGGTGCCCTACAGCAGCCACGAGCCCGCTAACCCGAGGGACACTCAGGTGAGGTGAGGGGGTGACTCAGAGCAGTGTGCTGCTGCACCCGTCAACGCGGTTCCTGGTGCCCTACAGCAGCCACGAGCCCGCTAACCCGAGGGACACTCAGGTGAGGTGAGGGGGTGACTCAGAGCAGTGTGCTGCTGCACCCGTCAACGCGGTTCCTGGTGCCCTACAGCAGCCACGAGCCCGCTAACCCGAGGGACACTCAGGTGAGGTGAGGGGGTGACTCAGAGCAGTGTGCTGCTGCACCCGTCAACGCGGTTCCTGGTGCCCTACAGCAGCCACGAGCCCGCTAACCCGAGGGACACTCAGGTGAGGTGAGGGGGTGACTCAGAGCAGTGTGCTGCTGCACCCGTCAACGCGGTTCCTGGTGCCCTACAGCAGCCACGAGCCCGCTAACCCGAGGGACACTCAGGTGAGGTGAGGGGGTGACTCAGAGCAGTGTGCTGCTGCACCCGTCAACGCGGTTCCTGGTGCCCTACAGCAGCCACGAGCCCGCTAACCCGAGGGACACTCAGGTGAGGTGAGGGGGTGACTCAGAGCAGTGTGCTGCTGCACCCGTCAACGCGGTTCCTGGTGCCCTACAGCAGCCACGAGCCGACCAACCCACGGGATACTCAGGTGAGACTCGCGAGTTGTGCGGGTGACAGGCAGGTGAGGCTTACGAGTTGTTTACTTGGTGAGGGAGAGGCGGGGCGAAGGGAGAGGGAGGGTGAAAGGGAGTGTGGAGGGAGGGGAGAAAGGAGAGGAGGGGTGAGAAAGGAAAGGAGGAGGGGGGGAGAAATGAGAGGAGGAGGGGAGGAGAGGTGGTGCGGAGGAGAGGAGGGGGGAAGAAAGGAGAGGTGGAGGGGGGGAGAAAGGAGAAGAGTGGGGGGGGGGGGGATGAGAAAGGAGCTCACAGGGGGTGGAGATGGAGAGTGCTGCAAGTGCACACATGCTCGTGACTTGAGTGCGGCTGACGAATCGTGCACCTTCCCCGCTTCACGCTCCTCCCTCCCCCCCTTCGCCCTGTGTAGAAGGTGGTGCTGAACGTGTTCGACTCGAGGACGGGGAGGAGCATGCGCGGCTTCGAGGGGCCGGCGGACTACCACTCTCCCCTCCTTCACTCTGTTCCCTTTCCCCCGATCGTTCCCGCCTCCGCACCTCATTCCCCCCCGCGTGCAGAAGGTGGTGCTGAACGTGTTCGACTCGAGGACGGGCAGGAGCATGCGTGAGTTCAAGGGGCCGGCAGACGATTTTGCTACCGGCGGCGCCGGTGGCGTTGCTGGCGTGCAGTGGCCCGTCTTCAGGTGGGTGCTGCGAGGTTTAGGCTGGTGTAAGCGGGTTTAGGAGGGTTCAGGCGGCTTTAGGCGGCTTTACACGCGTTTAGGTGTAGACGCCTGTCTTTAGGTAGGAAGTGTGCGCCTGTGTGTTTTTGTAGGTGGTGCCAGGGTTTAGTGTGCACCTGTGTTTTTGTAGGTGGTGCCAGGGTTTAGTGTGCACCTGTGTTTTTGTAGGTGGTGCCAGGGTTTAGTGTGCATGCAGAGTGCGATGGCCTGTTCTCAGGGGGGTGCAGCCGCGCTCTCAGTGGACGAGACAGCCGCGCTCTCGCAACGCAAGATCCCCCCTTCCTCTCTTCCCACTCCCTCTGTCGCCCCACCTTTTCAGGTGGGCAGGAGGCCGCAAGGACAAGTACTTTGCACGCATCGGGCGCAACTGCATGTCGGTGTACGAGACGAGCACCATGCATATGTGTCTACCCCCCCTCCCCATTCGCCCCTCCACCTGCCCTCCGGCACCTTTTCCCAGGTGGGCGGGTGGTCGCGAGGACAAGTACTTTGCGCGCATTGGGCGCAACTGCGTGTCGGTGTACGAGACGAGCACGATGACGCTGCTGGATAAGAAGTCGATCAAGGCGGACAACGTTCACGACTTCACCTGGTCGCCTGCTGAACCCCTCTTGGCGATGTACATTCCAGAAGCCAACGGGGGCAACCAACCTGCCAGGGTGAGTGGCTGCAGTGGTTGAGACAGCTCTGGTCACTACCTGGGGGGACAAGAAGTCGATCAAGGCGGGCAGCGTGCACGACTTCACCTGGTCGCCTGCAGAGCCCGTTCAGGCGATTTCACATCCCAGAAGCCAATGGGGGCGACGAACGTGCAAGGGTGAGTGGCCATTGGTTTGAGACAGCTCTGTTAGTGGTGCTTGGCACGTCATCTGCAGGGACAAGAAGGCCCTCAACGCTCGCAACGTGCACCACCTCACATGGTCGGCCGCGGAGCTGTTGCTTGCCAGATGGCTGTTTGGTGCATCCCAGAGGCCAATGGGGCAACCAACCTGCTAGGGTGAGTGGGTGCCGATGGCTCTTTGGTAGGCCTGGACTTTCCTCAAGGCCGACGATCTGCATGATTTCCATGTCAGCGAGGGCCGCATGATTTCCATGTCAGAGAGGGCCACATGGCGTGATAGAGCATGCACTTTCACACCCAATTTCCCCTGTCTTTCCCCCCTGCATGGCGTGATAGAGCACCCACACTTCTCCCTCCTCTCCCTTCCCTCCCCCGCTTCCCGCCCTTCCGCACACCCCTACCCCCCCCTCCCCCCTGATCCTGACCCCCCAGGTAAGCCTCATCTCCATCCCGTCCAGGGAGGAGCTGCGGCAGAAGAACCTGTTCAGCGTGAGCGAGTGCCGCATGGCGTGGCAGAGCGCGGGCGAGTACCTGGCGGTGAAGGTGGACCGCTACACCAAGACCAAGAAGACCACGTACTCGGGCTTTGAGCTCTTCCGCATCAAGGAGCGCGACATCCCCATCGAGGTGCTGGAGCTTGAGAACAAGAACGACAAGGTCATCGACTTCGCCTGGGAGCCCAAGGGCCACCGATTCGCGGTGATCCACGGGGACGGGCCCAAGCCCGACGTGTCGATCTACACCATGAAGCCCGCCCCGACGGGGGGCGCGGGGGGGGTTATGAAGGTGGCGAAGCTGACGACGCTCAAGGGCAAGCAGGCGAACACGCTGTACTGGTCGCCCATGGGGCGGTTCCTGGTGCTGGCCGGGCTCAAGGGGTTCAACGGACAGTTCGAGTTCTTTAATGTGGACGAGCTCGAGACCATGGGCACTGGCGAGCACTTCATGGCCACCGACGTGGAGTGGGACCCCACTGGCAGGTGAGATGCCAGGGGCGCTGGGGGAGGGATGGGATGGGGTGGGGTGGGATGGGATGGGATGGGATGGGATGAAATGGGATGGGATGGGGTGGGATGGGATGGGATGGGATGGGGTGGGATGGGATGGGATGGGATGGGATGGGATGGGATGGGATGGGATTGGTGCGGTGAAGTATTGTATCTCTACTCCCTTGTGCGAACCACTCCCATGCCCCCCCTCACTCTCCTGTACACCTCTCACCCTCTATATCCCCCTCACACTCCTCTATACCCCTCACCCTCGATATTCCCCTCACACTCCTCTATACCCCTCATCCTCGATATTCCCCTCACACTCCTCTATACCCCTCACCCTCTATAATCCCCTCACACTCCTCTATACCTCTCACCCTCTATAATCCCCTCACTCCTCTATACCTCTCACCCTCTATAATCCCCTCACACTCCTGCCCCTCGCACTCCTCTATCCTCCTCACTCTTCTTCCAGGTACCCGGCGACGGCGGTGACGTGGGTGCATCAGATGGAGGGGGTGCATCATCTGGTCCTTCAAAACGCGTCACACTCCCACCTACCCCTCACTTCCCCTCCCTTCCACCCCTCACTCCGCTCCCTATCCCCCTCACCCTCTATATCCCCCTCGCACTCCTCTTTCCCCCTCACTCTGCTTCCAGGTACCTGGCAACAGCAGTGACGTCGGTGCATCAGATGGAGAACGGCTTCCACATCTGGTCCTTCAGCGGCCGCCTCCTCTACCAGCTGCCCCGCGACCGCTTCATGCAGGTGAGGGCGGCGTAGAGAGTGGTTCTTGCAGGTGATGCTTTAAGTAGTACCAGCTGCCCACCAGCTGCCCTACAACCCTTCATGCAGGTGAGGGCGGCGTAGAGAGTGGTTCTTGCAGGTAAGAGCATCACTTCCCCTCTTTCCCCCTTTCCTTCACCCGCTGTTTTCCGTGTTTTCATTTCGAGGCGATTTTAGATCCTTTTTCCCCTTCCCTTCCCTGCTCATCTCCCCCGTCCCTCCCCCTCGCCACGGCCAGTTCCTGTGGAGACCCCGCCCGCCGTCCCTTCTGCCCCCCGAAAAGGATGCGGAGGTTTCCAAGAACCTGCGCAAGTACAGTCGCAAGTACGAGGTGGAGGACGAGGAGGCAGGCGCCGCATCAAGCGCCGCGGAGGTGGAGAGGCGGCGCATGGTGATGGACGAGTGGCGGCAGTGGCAGGCGGAGTGGCGGCAGATGGACGCCCAGGAGGAGAAGCTGAGGGCGGCGATCATAGGCGGGGAGGGTGAGGAGGAAGAGGAATATAAGGCGGAGGAGGTGGAGGTGGAGGAGATTATTGACATCCAGGAGGAGATTGAGAGGTTTGAGTGAGATTCTTGTTAAAATATCAAAATTACTAAAATGCTTATGGCTTAACAAGCAAGTGTCCCATCCAATTGCTTGGACCTGGAGTATTTGAGGCCAGTTTCCTGGTGCTTACTAAGATGGAAGGTCGTGATTCAATAAAGAGAACCGAGAAGTATGACAGGAACGGCTGATCCTCGATTGTTGTACCCATCTGATCCATCCGAATCTTTGGCAGGAAAACAATATCTATGGGATATTCACCCTAGATGTGCATCGAGATTACACGTTCAGGATCTGATTAAAGATTTCTCAATTGGGAGGTCCTTCCCTATTTTTTTTTTTTTTTTTTTGTATTCGAAAGAGCGGAATGCCCTAGGTGGTCTAGGGATGGAAACATTCAAAAGGTTTGCGCCTTTTTTTTTTTTTTTTTTTTTTTTTTTGCAGCGACTATTCCTAAGGGCGGGTCCCAATAGTTCATTTTGGGGTTCGGGACACGATTTTCGAGCCCCGGTAAAAATCCCTGAAACGATTCCGAATTCGTAAATTCCCGAAATTGTGTCCCTGTTCGCACGTGGCGCACAAGCGGGACGCCAATTGTCCACATGTGAAAAAACCGAGCGGCGCGCAACGGCCCAAAACGCAGTTACCAGATGTTAGCCTGCGCGAAACATATGCTTCGCACACCGCGCAATAGACAACAGGCGGGGAAACCTATCCCGCTTTTGTTTTCTGGGCAGAGACTCACCCCATTCTGTCGGCGCAGAGTGGTCCAACTAGTGGCGCGTTCGGTTGCGGATGCGGTATGGCGTCGCGCGCGCAGATGTATTCGCGACGTCGCCTGTTTTTCGCCATCGCCAGCGGGGCGATATCCAGGCGCGACACACTTGGAATCCCGTCCCCGAATCTTGCACCTTCCGGCCTTTTACATTTGCAATCCGAAATCTGATACATGGCCCGACGCATGTGAAGGGTATCCCAGGTTACATCAATATTTCAGTCGTGTCCTGGCGAAACCTTAGACAAGGTGTTACTTGTAAATATCGGGTTACTTTTTACGAAATGAATAGAATGCAAAATATTGAGACCCGCCCTAAGACGTCTCCCAAGAGGACGTCTCGCATACAGTCGGTACAGGTTCAGTAAGGCGCCCCAAGTTTCAAAGTAGAGATACCGTTTTCTACCGTGCTGGAACCTACAAAAACGCACACGATATACGCGGGACGTACTCTTGGAGCATGCCCTAAGAGATACCCTCCAACGCGGGAATCGAGCTAGAATGTCAACCACCCGGTCCCCGAAATAACGCTCATGAACAGCCGCCATTGTCCGGCAGTACTAGAGCAGCTGTGGGGAAATCCTGAACATAAAGAGTGGAACAGACGAGACGTGGAGGATTAGCATCAAACTGTAAGGGTAACCCAAGTCGTAGAAATGACTACGGTGCTTCAGAGTGCATCAAGGATACTGTTCGTGTTTACAGTACAGTATGCGATCCATCTGGATGTCGTTTTGCTCTTGCTAGGCGATGGAATCTTGTCGGAGTGATAAGCCGACTCGAGATCAGCCGACTTACCGAGCGCAATTGCTGTCACTCGTCTGGCAGTATTATTAATGAAGACGAAGGTACAGCCACTGTTTGCCGTGTACTGTATGGTGTTCAGAATGGGACTCGTGCGGCTCTCCACCAACACAAATGCACCTTTCACCTCGTTAGAATCAAGGTTGTATGTCAGGCTGGCGGCGGTTTTATTGATTTATTTATTTATGTGATTGTACGTGACCGTCTGGGGAACCGACCGCCACGAGTATTTCCCGAGCCTCCGAATAACTGAGGGTGTATTCTGGAGTGCCGAGTGTTTGGTCCCACGTGGAGGGAAACCAGTGAGTAGTAACAAATTGAAAAAAAAAAACAAAAACAAAAACAAACAAACAAACAGTGGAAGGGATCGCAACAGCTAGAAACACCCGTGAACTTTAGCAAAGCGTCAACTCTCGACATAATGAAAAGAATGTTCCGAATGGAAGGCTTACGCGATGAAGAGCTACTGGAATCAGCAGCTCAACCCGTTGAGGTCTGTGTTTTTTCCCACACTAAGCCATATTTGGTCCATGGCAATGTGAAAATCCATTTCACAATGTGATAAGAAGCCGATCTTGGCAAACGAGACAAACGAGACAAACGAGATCTAGGGTGTACAACTAGATCGCGACATTTCCACAACCTGGAAAATTTCAAGTCAAACAATCCCATCACGGCTTGAGGCCTGGGGTTATGGAAACCCCAAATGATTGTGTCTACTTTTACACGCGGAGTAGGGCGGAATCGAAGAGCACGCCCCTCGCACTGAAACAGTTATGCGGTGATTGACGTCGAACCCCGTGAGAGTTAGCAAAGGCCTGTAATGTTCGTGTCAGAAAAGTGCTCACGCTTTTTAATGATTTGGTTGAGCCAACCGCAGGTATCCCTAGATCAAAGAGTAAATAGTGAACTGTGTGAAGTTCTTAGGGCATGTTTCTAGTAGGTGTCATCCCGAGAAAGTGTCATCTGAGAATGTTAGAAACCCATCACAACCGTTAATTTGAAACTTCAACGGTTGTAATGAGTTTCCAACATTCTTGGATGACACTTTCTCAGGATGACACTTACTAGAAACTAGCGTTTAGTAGTGAAGATGTCCCAGGTTAAGTGTACACCAGGTGTCCAGCGAGTCCCGGAAAATTGACCAAGCACACCCCCGAACCTGCGCCCATTTGCCACCAATCACGGGCAATGGCCCTTTCACCTGATGGGCCATTCACATGAGATTTGTGGCACCTGCAGCACGGAGGAGACCAGCATGTCCTTGCGAAGAATTTCAAAGAATACGCCCCCCTTCAAATTTTCACAAAAACCGCGCATCTTGGTGACGCACTGTAATGCATGAAAGGGGGAATTCTTAGAACTACTTTCTACGCATGTCAGAAATTATGACACCAGGATTACGTTTGCACGAAACCACCCGTTTCAACTTTATGGCCCATTCTCCCGTGGCGAAAGCTCGTGAAATTAGTGCGCGCATTATGCCTACGCGATTCGTCTAAATCGAGGGCTATCGGTGCGCACCCGGTGTACACAAGAAGCTGTCCACGGCCATGAGAGTAAAATACTCTATACAACACAGTATCACACCAAACAATACGTTGCAAAGCTCCACGAAAATGTTTGACAGAAAAGAAAGTGGGTGCCACATTGGACCTACACATCAAACTGAAAAGATGGCAGAAGAACGGACCAATATGGAAGGAGAAACCATTCCAAAATTTATCAACCAATAACATCCAAATTTAGAAGCCGCCCTGGGATTGAAGTTGTTGTTTGCATAGGCTAAAACTACGGGGCACACAGGCACTCAAACAAGGGATAAAACCATGTACACGAGGGACTATTCTTTTGTTTTTTAATCCGTCAATGTTGGAATGCACGAAGACATCCGGGAAACCTGTGTTTTGCCAGTGTCGACGGCTGTTTATTGCCACCTAACACAGAAAGTGGTCAGGCAAATATGTACAGTAACGCGCGACAGCAAAAACCTTGCTGAATTCAAGCAGTTTCAGTGTCGCGGCGCATAGGTTCCAAGTCTGCGAAATTCAAACTGCGTCCCTTACGGTTGTGCGTTTACACTTAGCCTACGGTAATTTCATACCCAGTAGTTTCACAGGGGCGCCACCGAGAAGGTATTCACCCCCCGAAAGCAGCTCCTAACGACCAGATCCGGATACCCCTGAGAAACAATTTTAGCTTTGGTCTCCATACGAAATGTATACCGCTCGGTTTAGTGTTTCTCGAGTCAGGAAACCCGATGTCAGCTTAGCCACTGCTAAAAGTTTTCCCCGCGTGGAGTCTACCGTGCTTAGACCGTACGAACAAGGGAGTCTACCGTGCTTAGACCGCACTCATGAATGGTCATGGTAGAAACAAAAGCTCTCCTACCGCCCAATTTCATGATATGAAATTAATACGGGCTATGTGTACAAACGACATAAATGTTCGTTTTTGTGTACAGTGCTTGACATTCCCTCACATTCGGGAGGCACGCTGTCAATGACGGAAGACACTCAATTTGCCCGACGCCCCATGACACCCAGAGATGACACGATGCAACAAATCGAGCAGGGGGGGCAGATACAGAAACAGGGGTGGTAGTGGTACTGGTGTACCTTGACACCCGATTTGAAAGTAAAGTAGTGTACCTTGACACTCGACTTAAGACCAAGTTTCGTACTGTACATGTCGTATTCCCAAAGTGCAAACTCCAAGAATGTTGGAATGAGGCACTTATCGAATAGGTTGTTACGCCTCGGGCAAATTTGACTGTATTGTTTCCAAAAAGGTAGGAGCTCTGTCTTATGCGTAGCTGGCAGGGGCGGGGACGCTGTCTTTAGCTGCGATAGCGTCCACGTAGGCATTTTGCAAGGTGTTCGCATGGTGTGTCGTCTTTGGGTTTCAAGCACGGTTGCTAAATTGGTTGTTGCATTAGGAACAACAATGCAGGGGGCATTCATGATGTGTTCGCCTAGTTAAGGTGCTACCTTGATTGTCGACAAGCTGAGAATAACAAACGCAACGTTTAAAACCCAAAACACACATTCGAATAGCTAACACAGACAATAACGGGCGCAACGAGCAACGAAACACCACAATCACAAGGCACAAAACGACCAACTCAACAGCTTGACGAGCAGTGGACCTGAGTACCCGCGCAGGAAGGAATAGCCCAACAGAGGTGGGTCTGGTTACTTCTCCGCAACTGGCGGCGCCCATCATGCGACGTGGGAGGCGCCAAAGGTCATCCACTCCCCAGATTCGGTGAAGCCGGTCATCGCAGCAGTGGCGTGGATCACTTGCTCACGGTAGGCCTCGTCGATGAGCGCGCGAGTGGAGGTTGTGTCAAGCGGCATGGACACACGCTCTAGGCGCTCGCAGACCATTGGGTCTCGGATGTCAAACAATATGCGCAAGTCGCGTGGAGAGGGGGGCACGTTGGACCACCACGCGTCTCATACAGGTGGCGTCTCAGGTTCCTTCGCCAGAGGGTCCTCGCTGCCAGGGTTGCATGTCTCCTCGTGATGGTCGGCGTAGACAAACCCGGCCGCGCTGTCGATGTCGCCTGGGGGACCGAAAGGCATATCGTCCATTGCGCGCTGCACGTCCCCGAACTCCTCATCCAGTAGGTGGATCGGCTTGGACAACGGGTCGCCGAGCCGATCAAGCAGCGGCTTCCAGCTAGGCCGCAACATCTCGGTGCGCCATAAGCACTTTTGGATGGTGCTTGAATCCACAAGGATCATCGCATCCGAGATGGATTAAACAACGTGCGTCATGTCGAGACGGAACTTCATGAGCTCGTCAATAGGCATGCCTGGCTTTGATCAATTGACGAGACAGCGGCGCAACAGCTAGGTCTAGTACTTCGCTTTCAAAGCCGCCATGATCCCTTTGTCGAGTGGCTGTGTGAAAGGCGTGGTGTTCGGCAGCAAGTACACCAGCCGTAGGTTCGAGAGCGCACAGGTACGGAAGCCGCAGATGTCGCCCGTCGTAGCATGCGGGGAGTTCAACGTATGTCTGGATGCATTGTCGACCATGATGACAATTTGACGGCCCTCCGCCATGCAACAGGCGTTCACGGACTCGAAGTACCCGGTAAACAACTGGTGGCCGTTGGGGGAGGTGGGGGGGGGAAAGAGGGTTTTTTGTTGGGCAGGGCATACATGAACAAGGCAGATAAAGTGACCGATGTACAGAAATGTCGAGCCCTTGAACACACACATCGCTATCTTCAGTTTGTGCAGCACACACACTCACGTCAACGGTCATCCAACCCTTAGCGTTGGCGCGCCAGGCGCAGTACTTCGCAGGGTTGAAGTTCTCGCGTGTGAAACTGCGCCGGTGCTCGAAGCGATGGATGATGAGAAGCTTGTAAATCATTGAGCATGTTGCGTTCATAAGCAACGCTACCGTCAGGCGATCCATTGCGACCTTGCGCGGCAAGCATGAACGTGCGCTCGGGTAGCATTGCCCAGTACACACAAGTCTTGTGAAAGTGAAAGCGCTGTTAGGGCCGCAAGCTGAGGAGCTCGCAGAGCTACGCGAAATGAAGCTTGGCGACGACCGCGGTTTCAGCGCCGGTGAATTTCGCCTTGTCGCTCATCTTGCGCCATTTAAAGCCCATGAGACGCAGAGCCTTCTGGAGCCATCCAATGCTGGCCCTCAAATCTTTGTGGACGCCACATTTGGGAGCAAGGGCGAGGGCATGCTGCTGGAAAAGCGCGAGAATAACAGGCAAGCCTGCTCGATTAACGACATGCAGCCAGACTGTAAGACTGTCATCCAGTACAGGCCAGAAGGCGTTGCGCAGCCTTTTGACCTTGGTGACGCCGAGTGCTTTCCAGCGCGCCTCGTCTTTGACGATCCTTGAAATTATGTTGCGGTCACACCATAGGCCGCATCTCGTGCGGCACCACTGGGCCAGGTCGGCGAGTCTGAGCTTGGGGTGTTTCGTAGTAGTCGTATATGAAGATTTTCCGCGCCACAGTGATTGAAGCGCACCATACCGGAGCCATCTCGTCTCAATCTAAATTGCATATCTGATTGCGCCCCGCAATGCAGAAATACACCCGTGCTCGAGAGGCTCAACGTCCGTCGGGCGGACGATGCCTCAAGCGGCGTCCCTGTTGGCACGATGCCATTGGGCGCTGGTGGCGGATTTCGTCACGCTAACGGGACGGATTCCGTCATCGCACCTGGTATGCGCCGATTCGTTGTCGTGTAGGAAGACGGGTCAGGTTGTGATTACGTGGATCTTTACATGGTCACGCAATGACGCGGCAACGTTCTTGCACTTTGGAATGGTCGTCGACGAGTCAACGCTTCACTTTGGCTATGAGATAAAATTCTTTTTGTTTTTTTTGTAATAAATATATGCTGACGGTATAGCAATGCCACTAGTTGGTTATATTTTTCGTGCGTATATGGGGTATGCACCTACCGAATAATTGCCCCTGTGAAATTTTGCGCTTGTCGTCGTCGCACCAAGAGCATATGACATGAACCTACAAATTCCCAGCGGAATTGGTGTACCTTGGCTCACAATGTGGTATACAGCTAAATATTAGTTTAAATCGCGCGTGATAGAATTGGCTTTTTGGGCCAACTTTGTATAGTCACACTGCAGCGAGTCCCGTCGAACGTGGGTTTCTTAGGCAGCAGTCTGTATAGCTTTATGATCCCTATGCCAGATAAAAACCGTCGACGGAACGGGAACATAAACGAATGTTCAATGTATTGCCAATGAAGTTTGTCTTGCAGTACCAGCTGTAATTTCTGCCACGACAAATCCAACAACCTTGACAGCATCCCCCTTATCTGTACTGTATGGATCTGAACTGTTTCAGTTCTGAAATGGTTTTTTCCGTTTGTGAAGTTCCTTTGGTTGTTCTCCACTTATCATCCTTGAGGAGGTTCTGCTTCTTATTTTTTCAAGTGCATGAAAAGAAGGGTAGGTATGGAGCGAGCGGGTACAAAGCAGACGGGAAGGACGTGGATAACCCAAGGACAGTAACGGTATGTTTTTCAACCAGCCACCAGGTCGCAGGGAAAGGCTCCAAATTGCTGAACACATTCTTCATGAGCAACTTTTCTGGAACCGACAGTACTGGTTGCAGCATTCCTGGAAATGTTGTCCGCAAAAATGCGATATAAACTCTCACACCAACGTCCATGCAGTTCAGAGACCCCCAACATCGCAAGGAGGGGTCAGCACGGGACTGGTTGAAATGTCTTGGAAATAGTTGAAACCCGATATTCCTCATCTGTATCTCCACGGAGGTCTATAACATGTACAGAAGCCCTCCAAGCGTGGACCTTTCCCTGCGCCGAGACTTGCCATAGGTAGTCAAGGTGTCGTGTGCGACGAATCTTGTGGACTTCTGACTGTGGGAGGACTCGAAGGGGCGGTCTTCACCCCACAGAAAACAGACAGATCTGCTTCTGTACAGAAGCTACCATCTGCACAAAAAGCGAAAGATGCGTTTGCTCCGAGGTTGTGTACGGGCTCACCTGGAAAATCGGAGACTAGACTCTGCCTTGTTTGCGTAAAAGTATGCTCATCACTCGGCTCCAGCGACTGACCCCCAACGAGAACTGTACACTACACTTAAGAGAGTGGTAATACTTGCGCGGGGTATTCAGAGTAGTTTATAAAACGAAATCAACGGGAAGCCGTTCTGACTGCGCGTGCTGGTTTCGGCCGAAACTGTTAAACGATGACGTCAACTCGCATTCCCTCCTTGTACCAAATCCCCACACTTCGAGAAAGGGTGGTGTCGATTCGCGATTTCTTGTGTATTTAAGGGCGTGTCTTTTTTGCGCGATTCGCGGGCATCTGCAGGAAAACCCGATGGTAGCATCAGTCAGCATCGGTCTGAGACTGATGCCCAATTAAGGTTACGGGTTTCGTTGACCAAGCGAACTATTGCGGGAAAACGTAACCGTTTCGTCATTGATTGAGGCGGCGCGGAGTGTACGGGTGTACATTTGGTGATTGACCTTGAAACGACGCCCACGTGCCCTAAAATGACGCGCCCTAACCAGCTCCGCCTCTCCAACCAATCCCATCCCCCCCAATTCGTTGTTGGGGAATCAGTGAGGTAGCTGAGTGGAAAAGGCAAGCCAGCAGCCGAGCAGCACCAGCCAGCGAGTGAGGGAAGCTGATGCACAGCTACAAGCTATCTAACCCTAGGATTTTCAGTCTGGATAGCTTTGCAAACGGAAACACTGGAAGTCCTTCTTACAGCTTAGTCCTTAGCAGAGCCAGATCTTTTGCAGAGCCTGGACGATTTTCACTCTTTTCAAATGATTCGACCAATTTCGCTGGAACCGATGGAGATCCCAACGAGAAGAGGTCTGCTGAGCAGTAGAGATACGACAGCAATGCTGAAGCACGGCGGCCTCTGCGAGAGTTATACAGCGGCATTTTCGCCGGAGACTGCGCCAGCGTCGCCGTCGATGTCGGTCTTAACCAGCTCCGAGAATGCTGATGATGATTCCTCGCTCGTCGACCATGGCTCCGGAGCCGCAACGTCCGAAGCCCGCGGCCTTTTTCAGGAACCGAATCGTAGTCTTCCAAGAACGACAATTATACCGCCGCAAGATAATATTCGCGGAAGCTATCTCGAGCAAGCCGTGGCGGCGCAGCTTCAAGGTGCATCCGTCGGCGCAATAAGCTTCGGACAGCTGCGGCGGCGTCACCAATTCGCCACTGAGATCCCGTTTGTCCCTCAATCTGAGAGCCTCAACCTTCGTGTCGCGCCGCAGTTTCAAGTTGAACCGGCCGTTCTTTCGAAGCCGGCGCCGCCTCGGCGTCAGCACGACCTGTACGCCGGTCCATATCATCCCCGACCGCGCTCACTCGCCGCTCCCCAATTGATGCGGAACGCGACGAAGAGTACGCTCAATTTTGGCTCGCCGACTCCCGGCGACGGCGGGGTCTTGGACTCGTTTTCCGCGGATCAGATCGGATCAGATCCAGCGGTGCACGGCGCTCGGAATTTCGCCTTCCCGAACGGTCGACGCGGCGTTTTTCAGGCGGAACAATTCAGTTTGGAGCTGACCCATGATACGTCCCAGCCGCCTCAAGCTGCGCACGGGCCTCAGCGGAAGATGCGCATCGCGGAGGGCCACGATGGGGAGATCCAGATTGTCACGATGCCGACAAAGCCAGTAGGCGAGTTCTGCCGCCCACCCTGTGCTTCTGCCGGCCCGGGCGAATGTTGGCTTCACAACGCGGCGGCACCCGCATTTCACGCCACGGCTGCTACTAAGCTCGAGAACGGTTTTGACGGCTTTATGGATCTTGAGGCCGCGACTCAGACGCTGGAGAGTTGTAATGTTGAAGACATACCGCCGGCTCACCAGGTCCCTGTTTCCCCCATGATCACCCCCCCCCCGAAGTTCGTTGACGTGAGTCGTGCTGCGAGCGGGTGTTTTAGCATCAAGGTTGAGCCGCGCTGTGACTCGACGTCACACGTTGGAGGGGATTCTTTTCGCGGGGACGACTCAGAGCAGAGCCAACCGGATTTTCCCCACCCAGACCGTTCCGGCTTTGGTGGGTGGAGTTTTTTCCGGCCGATTTCTCAGCTGCCCAATTCACTCACAAGAGATCCTCACACCGCCGCCAACTGCCCGGCCTTCTACCAGGAGCAGGACCTTCCTGCTGCTGCTGGGGTAATTCACCCTCATCATGCTCCCGCGACTGACTCTCATCACTGTTGGGGTTCCCCCCACTCTCCATTCTCCCCAGCATCTCAGCACTCCCTGGACTATCAACAGGCTCCAGACGCTGCAGCCAATGCTGCTGGTTGCACTGCTGCTGCTGCTGAGTGCACTGCTGCCGAGACCTTCTTTCTCGGGGAGTGCGTCGACTACACGGCTCTGCTCCTCACGGACCCCCTCATCGACGCCCTGGCCGATCCCTTCACCACCTTGGACTTTTTGCCGCCGCCCGGAAACACGTCGACTGGAGACATGTCGACGGGCAATTTGCCGGCGGGTGCGCAGGAACCAGCTCTTGTCCAAGATGAGACACCGCCATCATCGTTACCGAGCCACCAGCGGGGCGATGCTGACGTGGAGGAGGACCTGATGCAGGCGAGCCGGGCGTTGGCCACGGGAGAGTTGCTGAGAGGTACATTTGGCACGGAGGTACCTGGCAATTCACCTGGGTACCAATCTGGAGTGCAATCTGGAATTCAGTCTGGATATAATTCTGAAGGCTTATCTGGGGACCAATCTGGGGATCCATCTGACGGTGCATCTGGGGATCAGTCCGTTGATCCATCTGTGAATGGCGGCGTGGCGTTCCTTACAATGATGGGTGCACCGGGTGCTGAAGCTCAGGAAGAAGAAGAGCAGACCCTTGCTGTGGGAGGAGAAGGGGTGGGATTGGAGAAGGGAGTGGGTGTGGGTGCTACAGTGGTGGCGCATGAGCAGGATGGGGGCGTGCAACAGAAGAGAAAGCAGGCACAGAAGCGGGAAGGCGATGAGACGGTGGCTGATCAGCCCAAACAGGCGAGGAAGCGGAAAGGCTCTTCTAGCACCAAGACCTCCAGGCAGGGCAACAATGATGCTCACCTTTCTGCTGTCGTGAGCACGTCTCCAGAACCAGCATCAGCACTTTTGGACCAAGTGGGTGGCAGCAGTGAAGGGATGAATGGTCCGCTACCAGCACTCTCTCCTACAGCTGCTTCTGCTAGCCCAAAAGGACCCGGGCCCAAAGTGAAGGTTAGAAGAAAGGCAGAGCAGGCTTCCGGTGGTGAGGTGAAGTACATCGGAGTGCGGAAGAGGGGCTCGGGGAATCGATGGGTGGCGGAGATAAAGGACAACATCCATGGAGTGAGGAGGTGGCTTGGGACCTTCAGCACACCTGAAGAGGCGGCTCGGGAGTATGATAAGGCAGCTCGGGAGATAAGAGGTGAAAACACTCGGCGCACCAACTTTCCTATCATTGCGTAGGTGTTTTTCTCTGGATTAGATGCAGGGTTTTCCAGTACTGAGGTGCAGTAGCTCAGTGCTTGGTCCTCTTGAGGTTCTGTTCCAGGTAGTGTTCAGTGCTCATATGCATGCGTACACGCTGTAGAATGTGTCAACTTATACATATATTGCATGTAGAAGTTATAGGCTAGGCTATGTGTGTGCTTCGAGAGAGTACAACACAACTGCTATATGTTCATTGTACTCCTCCTAGTACTTAATTTCAGTATTCTAACATGGTATCACGAGTAGGTTAGGTCCACCCACCCGCTTCCGCCTGCACCCTAGCCACTCGTGCCCTAGACGGCCCTAGCGCCCGCTCGGCCCCTTCGCGCCCGCCCGTCTCCTAGCGCCCTAGACGGCCCTAGCGCCAGCCCGGCCCCTAGCGCCTGCTCGGCCCGTTCGCGCCTGCCTGGCCTCTAGCGCCCGCCCGGCCCCTTCGCGCCCGCCCGTCTGCTAGCGCCAGCCCGGCCCATTCGCGCCTGCCTAGCCCCTAGCGCCCGCCCGGCCCCTAGCGCCGCCCGGTCCGTTCGCGCCTGCCTGCCCCTAGCGCCCGCCCGTCTGCTAGCGCCAGCCCAGCCCATTCGCGCCTGCCCAGCCTCTATTGCCCGCCCGGCCCCTAGCGCCCGCCCGGCCCGTTCGCGCCTGCCCGGCCCCTAGCTGTTAAGAACTTAGGATGCTGGGTCCCTAAAGTTAGGACAGTAGCTTAGCTAGGATAGGAGCAAGGCCGCCATGGAACGGCGCTAGGAAAAACGGATCTAGGAGTAGGAGGAAAGTCGAGAAGAAAGAGTGATGGATTAGGAAGAGAAGGGAGTACAAGGAGGGGTTTGTACCCCCTACAGAAAGGTTCAGTAGCAACCTACCAAGCCTATATAAAATTATAACTTATATAATTTTAACACACCCCCTAGGCTTGGTAGTGTCAAGCCCACTCACACCCCCACACCCGCACCCAACCCACCCCCTAACCCCGCACACCCTCAGGCTCGTGCTTAGCCGGGTATCTGACCCTCAGGCAAAGCGTTGACACACCCCCGTACACGAGGCAGCCGACGGCGTCTAGGCGGGTCAGCGACAAGCAGCCGCGGAGCTCTGGCTCAAGGCGGCTGGGTCGCCGACGACAGGCGGCGACTGCCGTGGCTGAGGGCTCTCGGCGATGTGGCAACGTCCGGGCAGAAGACAGCAGCTGCGACAGGAGGAAGGGAAGACGCAGGGGGAAGGGAGAATGGGGGGGGGGGGGGGCGGGGGGGGGGGCGGGGCGAGTCTTCAGCGTCGCGCCATAAATGGCGCGGCGCTTACAGGCGGGACGACGGCGTCCTGGCAGGGGGCGACGGGGCCGGGCAGAGGGCGACGGGGCCAGGCAGGGCGCGACGAGGCCCAGGAGGGGCGCAGCCGCGGCGTCGCGCTGACGTCGTCCCGGTCGCGTGTCGAGACGGCCGCGGCAGGACGGCGCAGCCGGCGAACAGACGACGACGCCACAGCGTGACGCCGCCGCGGCCGCCATGGCAGCGCCGATGCCGCAGCGGGGCGTCGACGCTGCGACTGCAGAACGACGGCCCGACTCCGCGGCAGCGCGTCGGGCCGGTCGCGGCACGACGCGCCCAGTGGCAGCGCGACGTCGCCACTGCAGCAAAACGCGGCCGCCATGGCCGCAGGAGTGAATGAGGGTGAGGAGTAAATGGCGGAAGCGAGAGGAGGCAGTCCAGCAGGAAGGATCTCCTGCTCTGATACCATGTTAAGAACTTAGGATGCTAGGTCCCTAAAGTTAGGACACTAGCTTAGCTAGGATAGGAGCAAGGCCGCCATGGAACGGCGCTAGGAAAAACGGATCTAGGAGTAGGAGGAAAGTCGAGAAGAAAGAGTGATGGATTAGGAAGAGAAGGGAGTACAAGGAGGGGTTTGTACCCCCTACAGAAAGGTTCAGTAGCAACCTACCAAGCCTATATAAAATTATAACTTATATAATTTTAACACTAGCGCCCGCCCGGCCCCTAGCGCTCGCCCGGACCGTTCGCGCCCGCCCGGCCCCTAGCGCCCGCCCGGCCCCTTCGCGCCTGCATGGCCCCTAGCGCCCGCCCGGCCCTGTCGCGCCAGCCCGTTTTCTAGCGCTCGCCCGGCCCGTTCGCACCCGCCTTGCCCCTAGCGCCTGCCCGGCCCATTCGCGCCTGCCCGGCCCATTCGCGCCTGCCCGGCCCCTAGCGCCCGCCCGGCCCCTAGCGCTCGCTCGGCCCCTTCGCGCTTGCACGGCCCCTCGCGTCCGCCCGGCCCCCTTCACGCCTGCCCCGCCCCTAGCGCCCGCCCGGCCCCCTTTAGCGCTTGCCCGGCCCCTCGTGCCCAGCCCGGCCCCTAGCGCCTGCCCGGCCAGTCGCGCCCGCCCGGCCCCTAGAGCCCTCCTGGTCCCACGCGCCTGCCCGGCCCCTTGCGCCCGCCCGGCCCCTCTCTCCTTAGCCAGGCCACTAACGCCCGCTCGGCCCCATGAGCCCTGCCCGGCCCTCGCGCCCTAGACCGGCCCCTCGCACCCCGCCCGGTTCCTCGTATCTCCGCCAGCGCCTCAGCTCGCGCCGCCCTGCTACCTGCCTCGGGCCCTGCGTCTTCTGCTCGGCCAAGCTGGAGTGTCCTGTAGCGGTATCGATGTGCCGCAGTTTTCGCTGAGTAGCTGTGAAGCTGTGGACCTGGAGCGTCCTGTTGCTGCGCCGCTGTGGAGCTGTGTCGCTGAGCCTACACAATGGCGGACTCCGTCCTCCGCCTGGACGCTGAGGGCCACGCGATCGACTTCGCCGCCTGGCTCGTCGACCTCCGTCGTCACCTCACAGGTCAGCGCCAGGATGGGCACTCCCTCAGTGTCCATGCTGATGGTTTGCTGCCCCGCCCCCCTGCCCCTGATCCCCTCCTTGCTGACCCCACCTCGGCTGCGCGTGAGGCTTTCTCTGCTGCTGCACTTGCCCGCGCTGTCTGGGATTCCCGCGATGCCGTAGCATAGCTCGCTATTAGCCATGCTCTCCCCCTGTCCAAGCGTTCGCGCTTTACTACAGTCGTGAACGCCAAGGAGTTCTTAGATGCCGTAGTTGCTCGCTATTCCACGCCCGCCTCAGCCTCGGCAGGCCGGCTGATCCTCCCCGTGCTTTTTCCGGATCTAGCGGCCTTTTCCACTGTTGTAGACCTTGCCGCTCACCTCCGTACCGTAGAGACTCGCTACCGCACTGCTAGCACTGCCGCACAGCTCACTGCGCTCCCCCCATTGTTTTGCATCACCATGTATCTCATCGCCATGCGCTTGCCTGACCGCTTAGCCAGTGCGCGTGACAACTTTCTTAGCCAGCACCCCGGTGACCTCACCCTGACTACCTTTGTCACCGCCCAGTCCGAGATCGAGACTTGCCAGCGCACTATCGCTCAGTCAAGCGGTGTTGCGGCATTCTCTATCTTTCAGGGCTCTGCCCCCTCCCAGTGACCGTTTGCTGACGTCTCTACTGCGGTCACCACATCGACCCCCACTTCCAAGACCGCTGTTGCGGTCTCCTCGCAGCAGCGTCCGCACCGGGACCATCGCGGCCCCAAGGGGGGGCGTGGTCGTGGTACTGGTAGTGGTGGTGGTGGTGACACTGGTCCTGCTGAGGGGGTTGTAGCCGGTGTTCAGGAGCAGCAGCAGCCCTAGTCGAGGGCCCGCCTCCCGTCCAGGTGGCCAGGCACGTCCGAAGGTGGTGGCTGCGGTGGCGGCCCTCGCAGCTCGGCGTCTATCGGCGGCTTCGGTATTGACTCCCCTGCTACGTCAGGCGTAGGACTGTCTGGTTTGTCTAGCCTAGGCTCTGCACCGGCTCCTCCTTCGTCCTCCGCTACCGCTTTGCTGTCCTTCACACTCGACTCCGGTGCGTCTGCCTGCTCCTTCCGCGACCGCTCCGCGCTGACGCCGCTTGCCGTGCCTGCTGCTGTCGCTCTTGCCGACCCCTCTGCTGGTCTCGTCGTCGCTCGCAGCTCCACCTCCCTTCCCTGTCAAGTGGTCCCCTCGGGTTCTCTTTCCGGCCTCCACGTTCCCTCGTTCTCCAGGAACTTAGTTGGTGTCGGCTATCTTCAGGACCTCGGGGTCACCACTACGTTCCTTGGTCACGAGCGGTACGCTGTCTGTACCAAGGCCGCCTCAGGTTCCCCCCTCGCGGCGTTTCCCCGGGACCTAGTGTCTGGCCTGTTTACCCTGGATACCGCTTCCCCCTCGGGTGGAGCGTCCTCCCAGGTCGCCGCAGCTTGCTCGTGTCGGTCGCTCACTCACCCGTCCCTTTTGTGGCACCACCGCCTAGGTCACCCTGCGCTCCTGCGTCTGCGTCACATGTCCCGGCACGGTCTTCTCTTAGGCCTCCCTGCGTCGCTCCCAACCCTACCCCCCTTGCCTGCGCCCCTGTGCACGCCTCGCATTGAGGGTCGGCTGCGCCGTGCTCCTCACTCCTCCTCGTTCCGCCCTGCCACGGCTCCCCTTCAGACCCTGCACCTGGACGTCTGGGGTCCAGCCCCCATCCCCGGACCGTGTTGCGAGCGCTACTTTCGTGTGCTTGTCGACGACTACACGCGCTACACCACGGTGTTTCCCCTGGAGCAGAAGGCTGTCGTGCCTGATGTTCTTATCCTGTGGTTTGTGGCTGCGCGTCTCCACCGTGGTTGTGTTGTGTCTCAACTCTGACCGTGGAGGTGACTTCGCCTCTGGTCGGCTTGGACAAGTCTGTCGTGCGGAGGGCATCACCCAGTCGTACACTCTGCCGGACTCGCCGCAGCAGAATGGGGTTGCTGAGCCCCGCATTGGTTTGGTCATGGAGGTAGCCCGTACCTCCATGATCCATGCCGATGCACCCCATTTTCTGTGGCCGTTCGCTGTTCGCTACGCTGCTCACCAGCTTAACCTGTGGCCGCGCTCCAAGCGGCCGCAGGTTTCGCCGACCCTTCTTTCGACCGGGTCTCCTGGTGACGCGTCTGCGTTCCACGTCTGGGGCTGCCTTGCTCACGTTCGTGCGTCCGGCACGGACAAGCTCACTGCCCACACCGTCCCCTGTGTCTTCCTCCATTTTCCCCTTGACTCGTTTGACTGGCACTTTTACCACCCACAGTCTCACCGCTTCTTTCACTCTCGTGACGCCACTTTCGACGAGTATGTCTCCTTCTACCACCGCTTTCGTCACCGTGGTCTCCTAATTCCCCCTCCCCTGTTCCTCGTTCCCCCTCCCCCGGTAGC